CACCAAGGAGGGCCATTTTTTTTTTTTTTTAAAAGAAAGACACTGTGGCACACAATAGAACAAAGTATGTATCCATTAGGTATTGTTCACTCACTGGCTAGCTCTCTCAAACTGTTATACTCCACTGCAATCAGCAGCCATACTGTCTGTTTTTTGAGCCAAACATAAGTCTTGGCCTTAGATTTTGATCATTTCCCCATCCTCAGCATAAAGCATGGTGTTACAATAGTTTAATCATTTTCTCAATTCATGTGCTTATTTTAACTACTTTGTTTTTGGTCTACTAGCTTGACCCATACATACAACTTGATTTAAAAACAACAACTTGAATATGTAAATATGTTTAAAGTGTAGATCACCCCAATGACAGTCATATATCCAAACCTTATAGATGCAACACTCTTCTATCTTTCCTATTGCTTAGCTCAAGTGTTCACAGGAAAATCTGCTTAAATACTACTTCTATTTTACTTAAATTAGCTATGAATCATAAATTTACATATTTTGTTGCTTGTATGAGTAGTTCTACCTAAAAACTACTTATGAGTTCATTTTTTTTTAATTTTATACCAGATACTGTGGTTCAGTTAGTATTTTCATGTATAGTAACACCTAATTTGGCATATTCTTTATATTCATTAAAAATTATAGAATGAATGTATGCTTAATGAAAATAAAATAGAAATCATTTCATTCCAGCTCTGAAAAGTTTCTAATTATTTGTCTTAAAGGAGAGAAACATCAATATGTACAGGTAATACAGATATACCAGGAGGAAAAAAATGAAGAAAACCATAAATGTTCCTCTATAGAAACTTAAATTTTTCTTTCTAAACATTAAAATGAATATTTAAAATACTGAGGATATAATTGAATCACATGTCATGCTATGCTGCCTGAGTCTTTTACATTTATTTATTAATTTAGTCAAGCCAACATAGTTAACAAGATTTTATTGGATGTCTATGTAGTACCTTTGCTACAGACAAGGCATATTCAAAACTCTAGAGAAATAACCTCACAGAAAAGTAGTTTAAGTGAACTAAAAGATTCTGCCACATATAGGTACTCATCTGAAGTCATGACTTCTTACTTTAAAAACTGAAAAGTAGATATAGGTTGAGGGATTCTTGCCACTAAGAAAGATTAAAGTTTTATTAATCATGCAAAATCATATATATAGACTGTGTAAAGGCTGCCTACAATCTTCAACTAGTCCTAGCTTCACAGATTGAAGCTTCACAACGATATAATTTCAATGCAGAAAGAACAGTTTTCCTCATAGATTTTTCTTCAAGCCCACAGTCAAACTAAGAAATAAATAGTGAGTTCTTGAGGTTAATAAGTCAAGTAAACCATATTTCTGTGACCCTGGCACTTTAAGTCTACAAGACCTTCTTCAACAAACTGGAAAACAGCAAGAGTGAAATTATCATTCTTTAAAAAAAAAAAAAGATTTATTTACAAAATCCTGGAGTACAGGCCTGAGGTGCAGATGGGGATGAGAGAATTAACCAGAGAAAGAGTGGGGAGCAGAATAGGTGAAATGACTGAAATACACTGCTGAGGGGACAGTGGGCAAGAAAGGAGCAATCTGAGGTGCAATGTAGTTCAGCTCCCTGGCCAGGGATTGATCCCATGCTACAGTGGCTGGCAATGCTTGATAGTGCTAAGAATTAACCACTTGTGCCACCAGGAAGGCCCCAAAATATTATTTCTTATCAGAAAAAAAATTTGTCTCAATTTTAACATTATCTTCTTTACATTCAAGGACCAGATTCCTCTCCCCTCCCTTTCTTCCATCTCTCGCTCCTCTCTCATAAAAGTTACTTAGTCTTTACTTGCTACTCATAGGCACTATCATCCAGACTGCCCATAAAGTATAAAAATAGATTCTAGATACATGGCACTTTTCCCCTCAACCTTATAACATTCATCTAGGACAATATATTTTCAACTGGTGAATTAGCGCCTGGGGTTGCCAACACAAATGCAGAGACAAGAAAGCTGTCATCCTTTTTTAAATGATTGGGGAGTCTCACACATCATTCCTAAACCAGGGTCCTCTCTTAGTCAGCTTCCAGTCCACAGCACTCTATCACTCACTGGCTGCTCAGCTGAGCGTATTCATCAAGGCAGGCCCACGCAATTGTTAGCTGGCAGTTTAAATGGGGCCAACTTGTCACAAGAGTGACAGCCTGGGCAATTGTTTGCCCTCTGGGAACAGGTGCAAGCAGGTTCAAATGAAACACATCCAAATACTAACAGCAAGATTCTTAATCATGTCAATAAAAGGGATGTACTGGTGTCTGGGATTCAGTAGTCACAATATGCCTCTTACACTTTTGAAGATGAAGTGCTGTCGGGCTTTTCAACAGAGTGTTCCAAGGAATCTATCATGTTATTACCATTTTTAATACATGCTACCTGTTCACTGGATGAATTAATTCTGATACTTCACACACTAAAAGAATGTTTTTAATAATACCAGTTCAGGTTATCAAAATAGACATGGAAAATAAAAGAGCCTGAAGGTAAAAAAAGAAACAGTAGCAAGCAATAAGATTTAATTCCTGAATAATTGTAAAACTTCAATGTAAATTCAAGAATGCAAAAGCACTTCTAAAAAAGGGAAAGCTTAATAACATCATTATTGAACCAACAAAATAAAATACTTGGCCAATTTAATGTTTGACTTTTTAATTTTCCAACATTTGTAGGCTAGACTATACATTCTGATTATTTCATTACATATCTATTTAAAGCATCTGTAGTCTCTACATATTTTATTCAGCTAATTCTATGCATTTTTTCCAACAAAAATTCCAATAGCAATCATTTAGTATATAACTTGTAGTTACTAGATATATCCTGGCACTATCAAAAGCACTGTAGTATTTTAGGTGTTTTAACGGTCAAGTAATTGCTTACTGTGTACAGAGATTCTTTTAGGAAACCAGCTCTATCAGGGAAAACAAAGACAAATAACACTTTCTGGCTTTAGCAGCATAATTAATTTCTGTGTTATTTAACTTGTGTAGTTAATTTGAGGGTCAAATTTAATACTATTGAAACAATAAGCAAAAAATGAATCACCCGATGATAAGAGTTTCAAGAGATGAAGAACTCAGTAAGGATGTCATGGAGACTACAGGAAATGGGCATTGGGGTAGGGTGGGTAATGAACTGAAACTGAGCAAAAGCTCTGGGAGTTGATGGGTCGAAGGAAGATAAATAAATCTGGGTAAAAACTTTAATTGTCCATTTTTATTTTCTCTCTTTAAAAGTAAATTTATTTTTAATGAGAGGCCAAAGAATAGGATAAGATAGAGAGTTCAAGATAACTGCTTCTGAAATGTAGTTCCTTATTGGAGCAAAATCTTTATTGGGCAATTTGTTTTAATTTTAGATAAGTAGGTATTTTTTTTTTACTTAGCAGTATATTACATTGTTTGTCATAACCCAGGCTCTAAAGTTAGGCAATGTTTCCATTTTGGCTCCTCCAGTTTCTGGTTCAGTGAGTTAGTTAATCTCACTAATTTCCAAGTTATTTGAAAAATGGATATAAAAGGTACTGGTACCTGTTTTTTGAGTTTGTTTGATATAAATGATATAATTCCTGGAAAATATTTAGTACAGTACTAAAACAGAGTCTTAATAAAGAATACATATGGGATGTCTTTCCTAACATAGGATTCTAATTATTTATAGGCACGCATTATTCAGTGTTAAAGCTTACCAATTGCTGCCAGTTATTCATTAATTACAGGTCTAAATGATTAAAGCTTTCCCTCTAAGGAAGAGCCATGTACTGCCTACATAAAAAATTACCCTCTTCGAAAAAAAATATCTATTTGATCCTCAAAAAGCAACATGATTATCAGCATAATAAATTGTGTTTATCAGCATAATAATCAGTTGACTATATACTGAAAATATACTAAATCTTTATGTTATCAACAACCTTTTAACTCTCCATCATTATAGAAGAAATAAAAAATTGAATCATTTTTACTTTTGAGTCAACTTTATATGCAAAAACTTTCAATACTTTTGCAGGTTCAAGTAATGAAAGCCTCAGAAGACACCACCTTTCCATTGAGTTGTTTTCCTTTCTCTGTATCATCTATAAATATAAATTTCAACCTAATATTCACATTGAAGTTAAGAAAATAATGTATACATTAGGCATGTTTAGAAAAATAAAGCATTATTATGAAGAGAAGTTTTAGAAAAGGCCTTGCTTAGGTCTTAACAAAAAAATATTATAATGCCTCACCATTAATCTTGGATAGCTCTTTCAGCTATAATAGAAAATGACAACAAATCTTGCTTTCAATTTGACTGTTAACGCCTCTTTAATTTTTCACATAATGCTCCATGCTTCACTTTGTTAGGAAACACAGAGTTAAGTTTTTGGTTCAATTATCTTTTGCTCTAAAATACTTTCTGTGTTATATTTTTGTATACATGAGTGTGTGAAATTCTAGAATGTTTGCTTAAAAACATTTTTGAAAAGAACTCTCAACTAAATAATTCCTTTGTGATTGTAAGATTACTTAATTTACTCTTACATTATTTTACTAAGCTCCTAGAACTTAAAATTTTGAGATTTTATACAGGAAATTATTTTGGTGAAAGTGGAAAATGGGGAAAATTAACCACAATTCAAAGAACCATCATAATGTGACCTCATTTTCCAGTCAAAAGCAAACTAAAAAGACATCCACCTACTTAATATAAGGAAGGATTATTCGTGATAAATGCCTAGGTTTTACCAGGGAAGATCTTTGTGTTTCAGACAAACCATTTTAATGGCAAAACAGGTTTCCTATATGTGATCTTTAAAGAAGTCTTAAGACATGTGAAGAAAGTTTTTTTCTCTATATAGAATGTACAACTCTTTATTTTCCCCATTAACATTTAGAGAAATTTTTGGTTTGAAGATTATTAAGAGGCCACGTTTTCAAAAAAAAAAAAAAAAAACAGTTAATCTTTCCATGAAACTAATATGTCGGCATCCTGTGTTCAAGGTCAGTTTGTGTTTGTGTATAACAAACCTCAGATAAGAATCTTCAACTTTTCTTTTAATTGAGTAGGAGCTACTTTTCATTTTTTACAAGTTTACAAAATGATATATGTACCATTTTGGGTAAAAGGTAGGCATATCACTGTAAATTTGCCAAGCACCTTGTTGAAAAAAGTCTCATCAAAGTAAAGAAAGAGCAAGAATTAAGAAGTGACTTAATAATTTGGATCTCTATGGAAGACTGATTGAATGATAGTTTCTAGTAAGTGGACTTCTTGCTCCAAACATTCCCTTAAAAGAAGACTAGTTCATTAAATATAAGGCAAAGATAGACAACAAACATATTTGTAAACAGCCTATGTTGTATGACAAACTAAACAAACTTGCCTTGTTTATCCTCTTCCGATTCACTCACAGAGTATCCATCACCCTCATCCTTCACATTGTCATCCACATCTGGTGCCTTCTGTGATGAGGTTTCACTTTCCTTTTCAAGGTCTAAATTATCGCTTTCATCATCTGAGGGTGACTTTGACATTCCACTCATTTGATCATAAGCCTGCCCTTCTTCATTAGCTTTCTCATCTTGTTTCTCCTCATCTACTTCAAAATCTTCTTCATATTCTGAGAAAAGAAAATCTCCACTATGAGAATGAAAATAGAATCCCTGATACTTAACCCATTTCACTTTAATGAGAACTTTGACTCTGTTATTCTCTCTTCTCCAGTCTGTCTTTGCTTTTTTTTTTTCCCACACATCTAGATCTTTCTTACCTTCTTTTTCACACAATTAGTGAACACGGAAAACTAAGAGCAAATGATCAAAAATTGCAATCAGTTACATATACAAAAGCACAAAGAAATGAAGCTCCAAATGAGAAGCTTGAAACCTAATAAAAGTCCATTTAAAGTGGACATCATCATCTACAATAACCAAAATGGACAAGAGAAGAACTTGATAGAAAACAATAAATTAGAAATAAATTAAAAATGAAGAGAACAGGATTACAATAATGAAAGTTAATTTGGAGACCCAGTGAGGTCATCTTTCATATGAAGAATGTTCAAAATATTTGGATATCAAGTTAATGAATAGTGAAGTGGAAAAATTCAATTAATCAAGTCCAAAGGCCCTGAGAAGTAGCACAATGAATAGCACATTCTTTGAGAACCAAGTGGACATCAAGAAAAGAGATTATAAAGTATTTTATACCTAGGTCAGAACCAAAGTTATATGCATTATTCATACCTAAAATCAATGGAATTAATTACATTCTACGGATAAAATTCTTATAAAATAGAACATTCCTATCACAGCCACTAATTTGCTTCATTCCCTACAGAGGTGCAACAAATCTGTAGCAAAAAAAGAAAATTGTCACATCAGATAAACTCCAGCTGTCCCTTGCGGTTACAATTTTTCACCTTTCATATTTAATTGTTCCCCCTTTTCTACCACTAAAATCTAAAAATCTTGAAGTGACAACATGCCAAGGAGAGAGAGTAAAAATATTTCATGCAGAACCAATTAAGCAAATAAACAATTATCTTTAAAATAAAGATTATAGGGAAAGTAACGGTTGTATTTTGTATTTTTAGTTACTTTGGTTAATTACATGAGAGTTGTTCAACCTGAAACACAATGAAAGGAACTTAATTTAGAGATACCTGTCCTATGCATATGAAGAAAGCTCTACCAATGCAGAGAATGTGTGAGGGAGATATAAGAGGAAACATGAAATCAGGAACTGAAATTGTGTGCAGAATGAAAGGCACACAAAGAGAATCCATCACAACAATATTTTTCTGAAAGAAATTTAATATTAGGAACAACAAATGCAAATTATTTTCAGTAAAGCAAGATTAAAAAATAAGCAAGACGATGAATACTTTAGTATATATTGCATGACACAAATAGAGAATACTAATAAAAACAACAATTTCAGGTTAAGTATTAGGGTAGAGTTCCTCACTTGCCCCAGTTACCTGTCCATTAAGATGACTTTTTTGAAATCCTATGTAGAAAGGATAAACTGCAACATAAAAGACATTATACTAGCCATCAAGCCATCTACAACTTTTGTTCAAGAAGACAGGTACACAGAGATCCCATTCTCAAAATAGCTTTGGGGAGTTCAGCATAATGGCAGCAGAGTGAAGATGCTAGCCTGGCATCCTCCAAATATTTAAAACTGTATTTCAGTAAGAAACTGCCCAAATAGCTGACAGAAAACTAGATACCACAATACACACGAGGAGCAGCAGTCCAGTGAAATAGGATAGGGTAAACTTGAAGTGAAGTGTGTTCGTAGTGATACTGGGCAATACAACCTACAAGAGGAAGAGGTGACTGTTGATCTGAGACCCTATAGTTGTTTACTCAGACATTCACCAAAACTGGGGATGCCTGAGACTCCTACACAGGATATGTGAGCTGGCACCAGGGCAGAGGGGCTGGGGTGCAAAGTGAGGATTATTGGTTTGAGCCTGAGGCTTTCAGTGCAGAATCACTGGAAAGACACATTACCTGTGTCTCCTCACAAAAGAGGCAACTCCTCCCAGTCAAGCCTGGGATATGTAAAACACCTGCAATCCCTCCTTCCAGGGGTTTTTATTTGGGGGTGGTTAAAAAAAGGGAGACAATTAAATATGAAAGGTAAAAATCAAAACAACAAAGGAGTAAACTAGAGCACAAGCATCTATTAACAATAGGAATAAGTATCCAATTTAGAGCTCTATGCTGGAAAAGAGAACAATTTCCTAGCCTGTGTCCCCATATCAACTGCAACCCAGGCCAGAACTACACTTAGTGCTCAAAAGTAGTCTAGAATGGAGATGAGTATGAGAACATAAGCAACACCAAGATCAAAGAGCTGGCCTAGAAGAGGGGATCACCATGGATCTCCACCATACAACTCTGTTACCCACACCACAGTAGAAAGTGTGAATTCCTGACATTTACTGAAGGCTCACCATTGGTGTCCTGATACCATCATCCTTTTTCTTACCAGGTACTTCTTGCCAGTGTCAGTTCTCAGATACTTCAATAGATGCAAAGACAACAGTCTGAAAACCTACCCCAAGTCCAATGGATGAAAATTAAAAATGAGAAGACAGAAGAAAATAGCACGGGTATAGCAAAAATTCCCTGAGAGGTGTCAAATTTTAGCAGAACTGGGGGACATCAGTGAACTCCAAGTTAACAGTTTTAACAATGCTTATTAAGTGTGAAAAATTAACAAAGGATATAACACAGTAATACAATGAAGATAAAATAAATATGAGGAAGCTCTAGTTATAAATAATGGAGCTAAGAAACACAAACATGACAATGGAATTAAAAACTACAATTGAGGACCAAAACAGTAGACACATAGAAAAAATGGAGATAATTAATGAGCTCAAAAACAAAATAGTGAACACACAAATACAACAGTGTGAGAAAAAAAGGAATTTAAAAGTTAAGATCTAAAAGAACCGTTTGAGAAAACAAAGAGAAATAACATCCATATCATGGAGTTGTGAAAGAGGAGAGAAAGAAGGAGACATGAAAATTTACTTAAAGACATAATTGCTGAAAATCAGCTAAATCTGGGAAATGAACCATCCATTGTGACCCAAGAGGTGCATAGAGTTCCAAGCAAAATAATGCCACACAGACGCATACCAAGACACACTATAATAAAACTTTTGAAGTCAGTGACAGGGAGAGAAAATTAAAAACATAAGAAAAACAAGGGTAACATAAAGGTAATATCAATCAGACTTTCAACAAACTTTGCAGTAGAAACATTACAAGCATGAAATGAGTGGGATGAAATATGTAAATTACTTGAAAAAACTTCTAGTGCAGTACTGTTTACCCATTTTAATTAACATTCAATATGGGATGAAGAGAAAGCAACATCACTGAAGAGCAAAAACTTGAAAGGATTTATCAACACGAAGCTATTTCATTGTTGGTGAGAATGTAAACTGCAGCAACCATTATTGAAAGCAATCTGGATTTACCTTAAAGAACTAAAACTGGAAATACCATCATGATCCAGCAATCTCACCCTAGGGGATATATCTAAAGAACATGAAACCATCAACACATGTTCCACAGTATTTATGTCCACGAGCTAGGGCATGGAAGTAGCCTAAATATCCTACATCAGATGACTGGATGAAGACAATGTGGTAAATCTACACTAAGTTCTATGTAACCATAAAAAAAGGATGAAATGCAACCATTTTCAAAAAAAATGGAGAGTATTTGAGAAAATTATGTGTGGTAAAAAGCAAGTCAGAATGATGAAAATAATTATTGGACATTTACATAGCAGACAATTCAATAGGATACATTACTTTAAAAAAGCAAAAACAGTTGCCATTAATAATCACCATGAGGGGACTCTGAGGTTAAGGAGGAAGGGGGAGGGAAGACAAAGGGACAGAAAAACTCGTCATAAAATAAGATCAGCAGATAAAATTAGATTGTTAATACTTCTGGTACAACCAGATAGTCATCTAGAAAAATGTAAAATTAGGTATATATTACATTTACTTAAAAGTAGTTTTTATACACGCTACACAGTATTAGTTTTGACACTACTGGGTTCAATAACTGTGCATTTTTACACTGAACTCTTAATTATGTGAGACAGTATCCAATAAGCAGAATGGAATCAGAGAAGTTTGAAAGCCTATAGGCGATTATAGATTTCAGAAAAGGAGAAATCGAGGTTAGCCACAGAAAACACCCCTCAGAGGGCCCTCCCTGGTGGTGCAATGGATTGGAGTGCAGCACTGCTAAGCTAGTGCAGAAGCTTCAGCACGAGTTTGATCCCCTCTAGGAGAGTTGATCCACTTGGCACAGCAGAACTTTCCTGTCTCACCCACTGCCCCCCTGGACAGTGTACTTTGTCCATCTGCCTGTTGTGCTCCCCACTCTGTTTCTTGTGAGTTCTCTCACTGCCCCTGCATCTCTGGCTTGTATCCAGTTCTGTATGCATAAATAAATCTTTTTTTTTTTTAAATGCAGAAACATATCTAATGACTTACAAAGATTTGTTACTCTTCAGTGGAGATGAGTGAATTGAAATTCCATCAATCATATCACATAATGAGAGTTTTGGAATCAGAAAGCCATAGGCCCAAGTCTCACTCATAACATTTACTAGCTATGTAATCTTACATAATATAACATCTTTTAAGCTTCAGTTTCTTCATCCCAACATGGGCAGCAGTTGCCTCACACAGCTGTGGCAAGTATTGAAAGCAAGCATCCCTTAGTGCATGCTTAGTGCAATGCCAAGGGAAGATGCCTCATCAATAATAGGGATTAGAAGTAATAGTGATTGGCATTGGGAATGGAGGAAGTTGGTCATGAACAGCAGAAATCACACGCATTATATTCTCTAGTATTAGCAATACACTTTAATAGAAACACCTGATTAAAATCGAAGAAGTACAAGTTCCACTATTAGGACACAATTATAGTTATATTATTTCTGCAGAGCATAAAACCAAAAGAACATGTAATAAACCACAGAAACAGCCCCTATACCCTACTTGGCAAGAGCTTCTGTGTTTTCTCTCAAAAAAAGGAAATTCAAAGCTGCCCTAGCTTTGCTCTCCCGTCACTATTACCACATCTAAATATTAGCCTTCTGTTAACCACAAGCATGCTAGCCATGCTAAAGCCAAGGCCCATTCCCTATGTGTTAGCTCCTCATGTTTCATTGTGACTGAGTTGGTGGCATGCTTTCAAATTTTTTCATAATTTCTTCTGTTTCCCCATCTCATCTTCCTATTTCCAGAGGACTTAATTAATTTGTTGCTTATCATTGCTACTAATAAAGAAGTGAGCCAACAGGAGGTCAAGCATCAATCTAGTTACAAACCTCCGGAGTTGACCTCCATTCAAGCTCCCCCTGCCTTAGCAGTGAAATGGGCACTGAAAACCCATTAGGGAGCCAACACAGAAGAGAGTCCTGGGGGAAACTGTAGGGTAGACATAAACTATGTTGTTCATAGCACTGGCTGTTTTTTTTTTTTCCTCTTGCTACAGAAGAAAATGATTTAATAAGCCTACTCATCTCAAAAGTTAAAACACATGAAAACAAACCCCATTTGTTAACCTATTATTGTGGTTGCTATAGATATATTTATTTTTACTTCTCAGGCAAGAATAAAGATTAAAAAGGATCACAGAGAAGTAAACTGGGGCAAAGTATGCTGACTGAAATCTTTTTTAAGATAATCACATTATTTCAGCAATAAACAAAGACCAGTACTATGCAGTTCTGTAATTATTCTCTTGGCTTTCTGAAACTTAATTGAACAATAAGATGAGATCTAAGAAAGGACTATGGGTCTGCCCCTCTTCTGATGTCAGCCAACCACAGGTTATCCCAGCCCATGGCTATTGCTCCCACAATCCAGACACAGTTTCTGCGGTGTTAAAGGGACACTTAGACAGCTCTTCCTTATTCTTTGAACATATCACACACAACCAGGAAACATCATGGATAGTATGTACAAAAATAGAAGGTTGCACAGAGTTTGAAAGTCTGGGCTTTAGAGGACAACCATGAGCATTAACAGATAGCAGAATATGCCACCCCAAAATATGCTGACATAAGGATTATTTTGAGCTGAAGACAATTGAGAAGAAATAGAAATAAAAACATACTTTGCCTTCATTCCCACCTCCCCATTCACCTAAAAGTAAAATATAAATTTGCAAAGTGTCCTCCTTTCCTCTCTACCAGGAAGGTCAAAAGCTAATCACAGAAGACAATTCTGGACTCTTATCAGTCTAGAGAAGGCACCAGAGAAACTGACATAACAAACCTCACTAAAAATTATTATCTACAATCAGTTCCCTGATATATTTACCTTCCCACAATTTGCTGCCCCCAAGCCCTCTGCCTTTGTCTTGTCAATTGTCTAAAAATGTATTGTTATTTCGTTAAAAGATGCTATGTAAGCCCAAATTTTAACCACCCTGTCAAGTTTCTGATCACTAGTCATCTCAGTGTATTGTGATCTACATGTGTGTTTGATTTTCTCTTGTTAGTCTCTTTTGTCAGTCAAATTTACAGGGGTCAAGTCCTTTGAACCTAAGAGGACTGAGGAAAATATTGCTTCCTGCCCTACAGTATAAATCCTAGTCCCAACATTTTTCTCTGTTCATCTAAGTCTCCATTTCCCAACCTGTAAAATAGAGTGGGTAATAACATCTACCAGATCAAATGGTAGGGATAAAATTACACAGTGTGTGGAAAGTATCTCACCTAGGGCTCAGTGTCTGGCACGTTTATTACTGTTATTATTATTACTGTTTATCTGAATGTGGCCGTGTGTGCGTGCGTGCGTGTGTGTGTGTGTGTGTGTAGGGGGAGAGAGAGAGGACAAGAAAGAGAAGAAAGTTATAGAGGGAAAGGAAAAGAAAGGGGAAAAGAAAAAAAGAAAGGCTGACGAATATGGTCTAGGACCCCAAGAAATTTATCACCATATTATCATATCAGTTGTGCCTACCCAAATGCCAAAGCAAGGGTATTTAAATGCTAACAGAATATATATTTGTTGAAAACTGTCTCTGCAGAAGTCAGTGAGCCTCTCTCACACACACATATAAGCCCCCTTCCCTGGCTCCTTCACGGCACCTTCAACTTCTCTGGAGTCAGAACTGCCTTCCTCTAACTTGAAAGACATGGGAGACACAGGACTCCATACAAAACCATGGAAGAAGTCAGGTGTTTCTCATCTCCCACAATAGCCTAAAGAGATAACAGGAAGGGGGACAGAGAGGGATCAGAAGGAGGGAGGAGTGTGGGGGGCTATGACGATGACAGGTGGTAGAGAGTGGAAGTAAACATCATAATAAAATGAACAATAATGTAATAAATTTATAAAAAATGTAGACTTGCAAGCAATTAACCTTTTTTTTTTTATTAAGAGTTGCATGCAACTAATAGTGAGTGCTCACTAAATAGGAAATAAATTATATTTTATCAAAACAAACTAGAAAAGATATAATATAGTGACAACCTTTAATGGATATTTTTGCACATTTTAATGACCAATGCAATAATAAAAGATCCTTGCATTACCCCTTACCGTATTTAAATATATTGTCCTGGTCATATTCCCAAGCATCTTGTACTGATTTTACTTTGCGTTCTAGTTCTTCCACAGCAGTTCTCACTTCTTTGATGCCTGTTGTTTCTTCTTGAGCTGAAAAAAGAGATAAAGCGGAGATTTTGTTCCTCTCAATGTCATTCCTTCTTGGTATCAAGTACTCTCTATCCTTCCTCAGTTTCCCATCACTCTTCTTCAGTTCCTCTCTTCTCTCGATACTTTTATCTTTCCTAGGTTTTGTTGGTTTTTTGTCGAGGCCCATTGCAATAATGCACCTGTGAAAAAGAATAACACAAATTGTTAGTACTCTTTATGTACAGAGCATTGGAACATCTCAGCATTTCACATCACTTAACTCTTATTCCAGTAAGAAATGTTATAAGAAATATTTTTAGAACACTATGGACATTAATCAAAATCAACTATTCTCTTTTTAATACTAAAATCTTATAAACACTAGACATTTTCAATAATTTTACCCACAATAACAGTGAGGAAAAGAAAATAAGAACTATAGCATCAAACTAAATTTATGACTTAAAGCATATTTGGGGCCTTATCAAAGAGTTGAATATATGTAATTCCAATTGTTAAATGAGAATTCTGTGATAAAAGAACCTTCAGGTTTATAAACAGAGGGAAGTGGAGATAAAAATAATCGAAAGGAGAATTATGCCATTCAGTTTTTGGTAATTTATTTTTCTAACACAACAACAAAAGACTTGCATATAAGTTTGGCTCCAAATAAATATGATTGATCTTTAAAGAAACATATACAGTCAAAAGCTGTTGTGCCCTTTAAATTATCACCTCAGGAGCCTGAATGCTTATTTTATAAAAATGCCATTATTGCTTTTAGAATGGCCTTTAGAAACCCATACCACAGTCTTTTGATGATTTTTGCTGGCAATAAACTTCTATTTTTGTGAAGATGGCATAATTTCTAGAGGTCATAATGTCATTCAAGGTCAAACCTAGTGAGCCACCCAGATGATCAGGCAATGTTTGAGGAATTAAAACATTTTTAATCAACTATGACAAAAATAACTGAATAAATACTTCTGTAGCTCTTTTCTACTTGTCAAATATTAAAATCAGAATTCTAATAATAATACTAACAACTATAATGATACCGACAACTACAATGATGATTATAATTAAAATACTGGCACTTCTGTTTCAAACTCTTTTCCAGGTACTTTTACATTATCTTACAGGGTTCATTTGCCACAGGTCACTAAGTTAAGAACAATCATCATCACTTTACAAATGAGGAAACTGAGTCTTATGGGACTCCTTGATTCACCCTCGCTCAATTGCAGGTTAGCAATGAAGCTGGATTCTAGCTTAGAGTTGTTACACTCTGTTCCCTCGCACTGAAGTACAGCTAGGTAGGAGATTACAGGTGTCTCTCAGATGATTATGTATACAGATAAATGTCACAATGCTGTATTTACCACCAGCAGAAGTATTTACATTCTCCACCAAAAACTAACTCAGTCTGGAAATGTTTTCACCAAGATCTTGAGATAATTCATGATCTGCAAAAGGTGACTGTCAGTAACAGTCCTCACACCCTCCTCTTCGAGAACTACTGTTCTCCTCTCCATGTTACATGTCTAAGAGGGAACTGAGTCACTCCAAGTGGGTAAGTGAAAAGAGATCTGAATACAGTCAAGGCTTTATCAGTCCAGGAAGAACAGAAATAATATGTAAAATTTTAAAATTGTCTCAACGTGAATCATATCCAATTCTAATTTCTTCAACTAATGGTTAAATTTCAGCCCCAGTCAAGAAATAGTATAAGAATTTATCTTAATTCTCCCAACAATAGGAGACTAGCATTATTTCTTATCTTTCAATACATCCCCATAAAATAAAGCTAAAAGGATTTGCACTTAAATATCAGGCAATAACAGAATGAGATAGGAAGAGTATATTTACCTCACCTATACTAAGCATGATAACTATTTGACTGTAATGACTGCTTTCCTTGAAATAATAAAGGTGCCACACATCTTCACAGAATATGGTGACTAGCATCGCCTTCTGTTCAAGCTGTCCATGCCTTATCAATGACAACACCAACTCCATGGATTTGGAACCTCTGATGTGCGCTGCATTTGGTTTATGTTGTGACTATGAAGAAACTTTGCTCACTCCCTACTGCATGCACAGACTTTTTATTGCCCATCTGCTTAAGGGAATTGGACAAACAAAGTATGTAACATCTGTGCTCTTCTCGTTACTGACTACCTATTTGACTTCTGAGTATAATTTGAAGTATTGATTCTGATTACTAGAGCTCAAAGCAGTCTGCCTCCTAGGTAATTCTTCTTCCTGTGTTTTCCTTTAGCAGCTGAAAATAACCCTTATGTCTCCAAACAATTGCGATGATTGAGGGTGAGTACAATTGTGAAGTGTCCTTATTTTGGAAGTGACCAGTACTCAGCTTTTCTTGTTTTATGAGGAACTTAAACAGGTACTTCCTAATTATTCTAGAAATACAATTCCCTATTGTTTCATTTTTCTCGTACCCTCTTTGCCATAATAAAAGTTTCAGAAACCAGTATTTCTTTTATACAAATTATTTCATATAAGACAAATTGCAGCCTTTAAAATAGTAAAAATATTATTTTTTAAAGATTTATTTATTTCTGCATACAGAACTGGGGTACAGGCCAGAGGTGCAGGGGCAGTGAGAGGATTCACCAGACACAGTGGGGAGCAGAACAGGCAGATTGTTAAAGTACACTGCTGAGGGGATCAGCGGGTGGATCAGAAGAGGTCTGCCTCTCCATGTGATCACCTCCCAGGCGGGGATTTAACTCATGCAGAAGTAGCGTTAGCTTCTTAGTGCTGTTCTTTAACCCGCTCTACCACCAGGAAGGGCAGAAAATAGTTAAAAATGCTATTATAGAGGTGACAGCTAAAGAAGTGAAGGTTTTCACTACAGACAACACTGTAAGAGATATCAACATCTTTGAGGTTCTTAACTCTCACTGGGTTCTGGAATGTTGGCACTGCTGAAATAACCAGTGTTGTCTCAAGAGGAATTGAGTCAAGCAAGCTAGACCCTAGCATTCATCCACCCAGGCCAGCCCCAGATAAGCCAGTTTGCTTGATTTTTGCCTAATCTGCAGCAGGGAGATAACAGAGGACACTACACTGTCCTACTTTGGACATTCACAGATGGATATTTGAAGAAATGACTATTAAACTAGCAAGCTAATATCTTATAAAAACTATGCATTTCAGTTGAATGTAATAGGCCTTACTCTTTAAAATCACAACCATTTTGTTACTATTATCTGTATAAGTCAAAGGAAGAAGCTAGAGGGGATTGAGTAAAATTATATTAAGACTTGCACAGAGACTAGCAAGTATTGAATAGGAGATTAAATGTCACGAACCAGATATTGATAATGATTTATAAAACCAACATAGGAAATGTTTAGTACTAAATGTTTAGAGCTTGAATTTATATAGCAACTCTCAAAGAACACATGTTTGTGCACAGATGACTACAGACATGCTCATTAACTTTCCTTGAAGTTATACATAAACTCATTAGTTGACTCTGAGTTGAAACAGGAAAGCAGTGTCAGGTGGATCCTGTAACAAACCAGGTTCTCTACTACCTTGCTCTATGTCATTCACCCTCCCACTCGGTGGATAACTCTTTCATTCCTCTTTTCTTTCCTAAAGCCTCCAAATCCTTCTCCCTCATGCTAAACAAGGATAATAAGTCCATGTTTGAATGAAAACAAGAAAGAAAGAAAGAAAGAACAGAGAACTTCCAGTTAGTCTCAATGCATCACCTACTCACCTCTCTCTACCCTATGTACCTTCTCTTCTGATGTTACACAAGCAAGTTGCTCCTTCTACTTGAGCTCTAGAGTCCATCTCTTCTAGCTTCCTCAAGCACTTTGACTTAGAAATTCTCTCTATATGTCATGCTTGATCAATTTCCTGCTATCAATCCTCTCTTCTAGCATATAACCACATTATATGTAGCTGCCAACTTTAAAAAAATAAAAAACCCTTTTGACTCTTTGGCTATACTTCTCAATTTCCATCCTTTATAGCAAAAGTCTTTAAAAATAATTAATCATATTCTTTGGTCTTAGTTTTTCTTCAATCATTTCTTAAATCCATACCAATCAAGTTGCATCCAAGATCACCAATAACCAACATTGCCAAATCACTGCTTGATCTTCAGTGTTTATTTTACTTCATCCAGCACATTCGACTCAGTTGATAATGTCCTTATTTTTCAAATGTTTTGTTCATTTATAGGACATCACTCTCTGGTTCTTTCTAAATACTGGCTTTCTTTAATGGGTATTTTGCTGGTTTCTCTTTATCTCCCTCATTTATGAACTGGAGTGACCTGGAACTCACTACTCCTGCATCTTCTCTATCTGCATTCAATTCTTAAATAATCTCATTTAACCTATGACTTTTAATATGATCTCTATAGAAATTCTTCTCAAATTTATACCTCTAGTCTGGGACTCTCAACAGACCACATATTATTTTCAATAATCTACTCAACATTTTTTTTTTGCACATCTCTCAGATGTTTCAAACATTACTATACCCAAAATCAAAACCCCTTCAGCCCATTCCCAAACCTGTTTCTTAGAGTATTTCCTATTTTGCACCTGCTAACTACACATCTTTCCCTTTGTACAGACCAAAAACTTGGTAATCTTCTTTGACTTTGCTCTTTATTTCATGCCCTGTATCCTATAAACATCAACTTCAAAATAAATCTACAACCCACTCACCTCAAACTATTTCTACCATTCTTTCTTCTCTACATACTTTCCACATTCCCTTATGTAGGGGAACAAGAATCTACTACCACAAAATAAGGATTTTTGCCATGTCTTCTTGTGAAAAGGTTGATTTAATGGAAAGAGGCTCTGAAGACCGTGTAATAGTTGCTTTTGAAAAGACATTAACATACAAGCCTCTCTTTTTAATTTTCTTAGCTTTTATCTCTTAAATATTTTTTCACATCAATTCATTTTGTACATTTTTTCATCTAAGTTGTAATCCCCATGGACTTCTCACCACTTCACCCATGTGCCATCACCATAGTCCTGAGTGCTCTTCCCGCCCCAGTTTTGATCCTATTCCCTTCTCCGCCCTCATAGAATGTCTCTGGTTTAACATACAAACCTCTGTATAAGGGCCTCTCCCTCATTACAGAGAAGACCTAGTCTCCTTATCTCTTTTCCATAGAGACGGCAGAACTTAAATTTGTGTATCTTTGTTTACTGTGCCTTTCTTGGTTAACTCTGTCCTCCTCTTGTCTTCCCTCCCCTGTCAACCTCTCTTGTGCTAGTTAAGCTATTTAAGATGGTGTCTGACACCAAGTGATGAGTTGGACATGTTGGGTCTCTCCCACGTGTGCAAGGAGGTATACACATACTATTATTAAATTTCCTTTTTACATTGTCTTATCAATTTGTCTGATGCTTGATTATTTGCTAACCTAGGGGGGAAAAGAAGTATAGGATGATTTCTTTTGTGTCCCAACACTCCACCATCCCTAGCTTATTTTTCCCATAGGAGCTATTGTTAAATGATGACAGGTGATTACTCAAAACTTACTTTATAGGCTTCCCATCTTTTTCAGGATAAAAGTCAAGGCACTAAATCAAGTTCCTAAGGCAATGAACTTAGGGATCTGCGTGACTAGGTTCCACTATCTCTATGAATGGTTCCCTTCCTTACATTTGCTCTTAGCACATGAGAACCCCACAAGCAGCCTCATGCTTCATGCCCATTGTATAAGCTTTTCCACTACTGAAAAACTGTAGAGGAGCATTTTTTCCTGTTTTCTTCTCAAAAGACAGTTCATCAAAGAGGCCTTTCCTAACCATCCTACATAGCACTATCCTCTGACCTTTGACCCCATAACTCCCCACATCCCCCTTACCCAGTTTATAGTCATCATGCCTATTATCACCTGACATATGTTAATTGGTTTATAGTTATATTATTTGACCTTCTCCATTAGAATGGGTTCCACAGGGAAAGGTACTTTGATTGAATCATTCCTGTATTCTAGCTTGCATACAGTCAATTCTCCATGGGAATTTTTGGGAAAAAAATTAAAATGGCCTGCAAGCAAGTTTCCTGATTTCAAATGTTCAGTATGAAAGCTAATAAACAACAATCAAACTGCCTCTCTGCCATGTATTTTGTTATGTTTGAGATTGCAAGTAGGAGACATGGGAATAATGTTTGGGTACACCACAATCTAGGCACATTTTTAATATGCACAATCTATAATATCCAGTCATATGCTGGCATACATTTTGGGGCTCAGCATAAAGTCATTTGCTAAGAGAAATGAGACTTCGAAATCCCTTTTGCCTTCTCTACAAAATCATAACTTAAAGCATTATAAGGAAAGGGAGAAAAAGAAAGAGGAATAGAATTTGAAACAGTACCATTTTTATCCCCATTATAACACATCTGAAAATCTAATTTATAGCTGATAATTTCAAATAAAATATAGAATTGTAATAACCTTTGGCTTAGATAGTCTAGCATCATCTACACTGACAACTTTCTTAACAAATTGTGCAGAGACATGCATCAGTAAAATCATAAGAAGAAAATAGTAAAATGTGTCCTCTACCAAAGGACATTGGTTTTCATACTTGTAGCAAGGAGATGATCTCTCGACACACACAAACCCAAAGTAGCCTCTTTTGCCTCCTAGTCTGGAACCTTTTCGATGCTTATATTCACAGCAGGAACTTAACCTGTTCACCTGTATCCCATTCAGGAAAAAGGTGAGACTGAAGGGGAAACCATGGTGCCTTTTGGAAATAAACTGAAAGGTCTCTGAAATTAAAATGGAAATGCATTAGTGAAAGCAATGAACTTCGAACTAGTATGTTCAAAATGACACTTTCTCTATTAGGTAAGTACAATGTTATGGTCTGGTTCACATTTTTAACTTGAGGACAATTTTTTTTCATCATAAAAATATAATCTAATTTTTTAATAAGAAATACTCCAAGTTTTTATAAAACAGATTTAAAAGAAAGTAATAATGATTAACATTATATGAACACTTACCATGATGAAACATTATGCCTGCTTATCTTGGGTGTTATTTTACCACCACAACACAAAATGGGAATATTATTATTGCTAGTTTCTAGATGTAGAAACTAAGGCTTAAAGCAGTTTAGTAATTTACCGAAAATCATCCAGTAGATGGGAGAGCTGGTGTTTGAATCCAAATAACTCTGATGAGTCCATGCCTCTATGCTAACTATGCTATTTTAGCTACTGATAAAGAAATATTAACGGTAATATAAACTGTGAACTCAGTTACATTTTTAAGTATTTTTTTCTTAGCTGTGAATTGTAACATCCTAATGCATATATGGATGAAGCAGAACCGTTTCATTTCCAATCCATTTTTGATTCTGCCTGGATTTGAGAGCCTTTACCCACCCTAAAGTACTACGAATAAATTAAGAACCATTTCTTGGAAATAATAGTTTTCAGTCATTCAAATATTTATGCTGATGTTTGAAAAAGGCTCACCTTAGAAATACAAACCCTAAATCTGAGCATCCTATTTTTACAGAGTAACTCAGAAACCTGCTTCTCTTGACATTTCTGACAATACATCTACATCTTCTGTTTCTACCAATAATAGAGGTGATAATGTTACCTCTCTACTAAGTACATATTAGTCACTATTGAACTTTTTACATAGTTTTAAAATATGGCTACTCAGTGGCCTCAAACTTTAATGTGTAACAAAATCACTGGTAAAGGTTATTAAAACACAAATTGGGTCATATCCCCGGAGTTTCTGATTTAACAGAACTCAAAATTTGCATTTCTCTAAGGTTCCAGGTGATGCTTATGCCTTTGGTCTTCTGGAGCCCTGGTCTAAATGTTTGCCATCCTGCATGTTTGTGAAATCCATGAGAACTGAACTGGTCTTACTTACCTTCATTTCCCAAGAATCTAGTGCAAAATGTGTTCAGTTAATAGTGCAGTACTTTTAATCCATTTATTTCACTGTCATCTAGAAATACTATGCTTATAACACATTAAGCTCCTAAAAATCTAAATCAGATGCAACAGTACTAAAGAATAGACTTATTAAAAGGTTAATTTCATCCACTCATGCTATCTTCTTTGTGATGTAAAATTAAACAAAGTAAAAAAGAAAACCTGAAAAGTTAGTATCTGGAGAAACTAAAAATCAATAGTTTTAAAAACCCACTTGTCCTAATGACATGTGAATTCCTTAAGTACTGACCACAAAGCAAGTTTGACCATGCCCCTATTCTTATTAGTTGAATTTCCACAGAAATATCATTTAATTGATTTTATAGATGAGCATTCTTGCATTTCAGAATTTTTAACTATAAAATGTAGACGGCAGAAGTTGGGGTGAGGGAGTAACGTTGTGTGCATGTGTGCTCGTGTGTGTGTGTGTGTGTGTGTGTGTGTGTGTGAGAGAAAGAGAAACCTAGTCTGCTCATATGACAGAGGAGTGTTAAATGTGATTTTATGTACAATGTTAAAAAGTATTTTGTCATGTTTGTAAATATGCTTATGTATTGTTGATGACAGCAGTGGGTAGCTCTGTTTTAGGCACTAAAATGTAACAAAAATACTAAATATTATCAAATGTGAGCTCTTCCTTCAAGAAGTTACAATTTTTCAGGAGAGACAACATTAATGCCCCAGACTTGTGAAGTCACCAAATCCTCTTCCCTTTAAATCTGTCTCTGAAAATAGACCAAAGACTTAAAACAAACTGAGCAGCAGTTATTCATGAAAAATTACTGAACTTTCAGTAAAAACAGTGGGGATCTGCAGCACACTTGCCTGGGGCTGCTCATCATGCTCACCTGCCACTATTTCATTACAGTAGTTCTAACAGGGAGGTAAGCCATAAATAACTAGCAGCTTCACTGTCAGTGGGGAATGACTTGATTTGAAGCAAAGGGTAGGGGGGGGGGGAAACCTTGACCAGTGACATTACAGTAATAAGTACTATCTCAAGCTAACATGAAAGGTCAGTGGTTCTACTAGACTGAGACTGGAGTTCTAATTAGGGCAAGCAAGAGGGCAGTGGACTAGCCAGAAATTTTATAGGAGACACAGGCATAAGGGAGCCATAAATACCTACAAAAGTTCTATGTGCATGCCTGGCTAACTATATGCAACCCTAGCATGGATTGGAGAAGGTCCAACCTTTGTATAGCTTTCTAGCCTACCAGGAACATGTATGATGAGCAAATGGAAACACAGGTGGCCTGCAGGGGGAGAGAGGTAGATATAAGATGGAGCAGAAAACTGCCTGAATTTTTAATGCAATTCTGGAGCCAGTACAGTAGGTTCAGTATTATCTTATAAAAACTCATGGCTACTCAAGTTACCTCAAAATATGAACTTAATTAGGAAAAGTGTGCTTTTTGATGTAATTAATGAAGGCTCAATATGATATTCTGACTTAGTTTTGTCCCAAATGTAATGACTGATTTTCCATGAGAAAAGGACAGAGGCACATAGAGAAGGATTATACAAGAAGATGGAAGTTGAGTGGTGGGGCTAAAAGCCAAAGTATATATGGGAATCACCAGAAGTTGGCAAGTCTCCCTTAGAAATTTTACCACCTTCATATTAAGCCTTTATCCTCCAGATCTGTGATAAGATAAATTTCCAATATTTTCAGACACCAACTTTGGGGATACATGTCATATCAGTAATAGGAAACTAATATACTTGCAAATGTATCTACTAGGAGAAACTGGAGGCTTCACTAACTTTAAATGTTTGAACACAGACTCTGACAAATCATAGGATGATCACTAAGCTTTGGATTAGTAGAAATACTATTGACTCTACATCAAGGAGAGGGGAAGTATGAAATACAGATTTGCTACAGATAAATTACTAAACAACAAAAGCAGCAGCAATGATAACTTTTGAGAGGGAAATTTCAACAATGATCCATAATTGCTCTGATACATGATTTGAAATGTCTACTTTTCTATAACAAAAATGAACACATAAAGAAATAGGAAAGTACAACCCATGATCAGGGAAAAGAAACGATCAAACCTCTTAGGAATCAAGAGAAATGACAGCACAAGTCTACACAAAAATGTGTATTTGCATCTTCAAAGCAGCATGATTTATAAAAGTTCCAGAGTGGAGACAATACAGGTGTCCACTACCTGGGGATGTGTGAGTAGAACATGGTACATCATGGAATGGAGTATATCCAGCATTGAAGAAGAATGCAGCTACTGATAGATGCCACAAAGAGATGACTCTCTAAAGCAGTAGGCTAAATGAAACTAAACAACAGTAACAATTGTATAATTTCATTTGTATGGAATTTTCAGAAAAGGCAAATTTTTGGAGACAGAAAACACATCAGTGGTAGCCTGGGACCTGCTGTAAGAGTGAAGGGAACCTGCCATCATCACAATGGAAATTTTTGAAGTAATGGAGATGGTCTAAAACTTTAGAGATAATGGCTCCACAGTCTTACACAATTGCTATATAAAATATAACAAAAAAATCAGTGAGTTGTACACTCACAATGTCTGACTTTTATGAAGAATAAACTATAGCTCAGTAAAGCTATTTATAAAAACTAAAAATAAAAAAGGTGTGAAAATGAGTTAAAAACAAACAAAGAATGTTACTATAAGTCCTAACACAGTGAAATGCTTTGGTCTAAGAGAGGACTGAGAGCCAGAGCCACTAAGAGAGAGAAATTAAACAGAAATCAGGAGCAAAAGCTTCACAGCTTTAAAGTGACCTGAGCAGATTGGTAAGATTTGAACTTAAATCCTATTTTGAATTTAAAATCCTTTGTCTTAAAACAGACAAAAGTAGAGAGCTGCTATATTTGTGAGGGAATCATAAGAAATATACAAACAGATCCAAGATCAGACTATGGAAGTACAAGAAAATGGAGCAAAAGAGGATAAGCACCAGGAAAAGTTACTGTGTTCTTGTATCCATATGAAGGGAGGAGATCAAGGTCTGCCTGTTTGAAAGGATGAAAAGGGCAAATAAAACTGCCTATGAATAATCATACTCTACACAAAGTAACAGAAATATTCGGTGACATCATAGGTATTGCTAATAAATAACCAACATGTAGCTTGATGTCTAAAATCAAACCACAAGCCATCCTGATTCTAGGTGAATAAAAGATGTTTTTGCCACATTCCTAAAAGATTCATTTTATTATTTCTCTTCCAGAGTAAGACAAATGAATACCAGATCTTTAATGAGTTTACTGCACTAAACATAACTTTAAATGCACCCCTTTTAAACAGAAGTACTCTAAAAGCCTCTTCACATGTCAGTGAATTATGCACAGATTTGATTTGTAAAAAGGGCAGAATCTTTTCAGTACAACTAAGATTTCTGAACCACAAGTCAACACAAAGCCACACAGCTTTCAATTTTGAACAATTACTTCCCTGGCAATCAAGGGCAAGTTGAGACAAAATTATTATATGGACAGGATTAAATTATTTAAACCCTTATACATCCTATTATTCAAGACTCTCTGAAGGCGTAACAAGTCAGTTTCAGGATGAAAAATAACACTTGGACAAGTACCACTCGCCCAGAGACTTTCGTTTCCCACTCTGAAGGTACATCGTTTTCCAGAAAATCATTAGTTATGTCTTGTTCTCTTTTCATTTGTATGCACCACATTTTCAAGCAGTCAGCTAGGCATTATATATGCATTTTGTTGAATAAAGCATGATATAAAGGCCAGAAAATTTGCATTATATAAATTCCAAAATTATTAAAATTGGAATTTTACTCTAATCTATATTTACATTAATTGTGATTTTAGACTACAGCTCATTTCAACAATTATTGTAAGTGAATAGCTGAAAAGTACATTTCAAAAAAAAATAAGTGTCTATATGCCAGTGAAAATGTAAGAAACCCTTTGCTTCTGTGAATCGCTAACTGGGGCAGAAGGGAACAGGAATAATAACCTAGTCATGGACCATGATCCTCTACCAAGTTATGTAGGTGTGATTCACCCTAAAGTTTATTGGATTTGTCATATTTTTTCCTCAATAAACTTCTTATTTTTAAAGATTTAGATTTATTTATGCATACAGAAATGGGGCACAGACCAGAGGTGCCGGAGTGGCGATAAGTTTCACCAGAAACTGAGTGGGGAGCAGAACAGGTACACTGCTGAGAGGAGAGGTCTGTCAGGCCATGTGGATCATCTCTGGGGTGGGGACTGAACTCACACTGAAGTGGCCACCACTTGGCTCCAACCCACTACACCACCAGGGAAGGTCTCAACATACTTCTAAAGAACCAATTGCCAATCTGATATTTTTCTCTTAGAAAAATGTATAATACAATTCACTATGGCAAGCCAAATAGTTAACTTGTAATTTGGGGGACGCTTTATTCATGCAACATTTTAATGTTCATATATCTCTATCCCCAAATTAATCTGCTACTGTGTTAAATCACTCCAAATACTTTCTTCCACAATCTGCAAGAGTAATTGCTGTTTCAGTTTCAATCATAGAGCAGTAAATCTAGATTTACTTTTAGGCAGCTGGTTTATAAGTCCCTGGATATGCATAATTTCATAGAGTGATTGAAGTCATTTTGATATTACATCAACAATGGCTTATCTATAGCATCAACTTGATACAATTAAAAAATTTACATTTTAGATGTACCTTTTTCAAGTAACTTGCCTTTGTAGACACAAAGGTTTTCCCCACCACAGTGCTGTTGATAAACTTTTATTTCATCCCGGAAGTCATAAGATAGGTGCACATTTTTCCCCAAATAGATCATCGTAATAGCTGCATTACTATGCAGTGGTGTTTTATGAATTTTCTTTGAATCCTGGAATAAACAAAAAGAGGAGGCTTATTAACTAATCACCTTCTAATTAGCATGTGATGATATTGAACATGAAGAACAGAAAAGGCTATTTCTGTGCAGCTGGCAAATACACCTTTAAAAAATGCACAAAAGGAAACATCCATTACAGAATAAATCCCACTAAAAGTTATAATGTGTACCTTTTGACTTCATATTTATGATGTAAGTGCTGGGGATTTGTACAAAATTTTTCATTTTTTATTTTAAGTGTGTCTGTTTTACATTCAACATAAATACCAATAGTGTTAAGGGAAAATTGTTCTCGCTCTTTTAGCCAGTTCTCAGAAATTTAAATCAAAATAATAAAATGTTGGTCACTTATTTTTTTGTACCAAATTAAATTCACATTCATTGTGATTCAGTAATTGTCTTTAAAACCTAGCGCTTAATTTTTACACCTGAGTACAAATGACATATCTTTTTGAGCTGATTCTGTGTGGGATTATCCAGTTTCACAGGAGGTATTTAGTTCAATGAAAAACCATTACTATTACTGCTTTTAAAATCAAATAATATGCCCAACAATTAAAATATCTCCTTAAAAACCCTTCCTGGCATTGATAAAATTTATTTGTAAGATAAACAAGAATGTATATGGCAAAGAATATCTATGCCTTTTCTGCTAGCTTATATTTGAAAGTGTATAAATAAGCATAACTTTCACCTAACCTCAAAGACAGAGATGAGATAAATGGAACAGGAAGAGCCTATGAAGGCAGAATTTAGAAAAGTTGAAAGACTTTTAAGGAAACCTACTAAGAATATTGTTGGATTATGTACAAAGGTCAGAAATTACTTTTAAGCTCATTTGCTTTATTAAAATCAACCTTTATCTACATGAAAAATGTGAATTGACCAACTTTCAGTGACTAAAAGGCAATTATTTAAGTTGGACTTCATTGAATAATGTACACTTTAGAAACATGTATTTAAGAACAAAGATGTAACAAATGTTTTGAAGGGACTAGTAAATATTTCCATCTCCAAACCCATCCCATTCCAATCAGAATCAGAGGATTCTAAGTTGGAATCAATGCTCAATCAATCCTGTTTTTCTCAAGTGAAGACGTAAGGAAATAAAAGTTGAGATTAAAGTCTACAAATGACAGTCTGAAAAGAATACACAAGAGAAGCCCTGAGACTTGAAGTTCAAAAACCAAATTTACAAACAAAAGCCCCTGGTAAAGAGAAAACAAAGTATCTCTGAAGTATTTCCAGAGATATCGGGGGTTAAAAGGGAACTGAGCCTAATGAGTAGGTATTTGTGGTCCAGAAACATCCCTGTGAAAGTAAAGCCACAGCTAAAAGTAAAGGGGTAATAGCATATTTGGATCCCACTCTTCAAAGGCACCCTATGGTGTCTTACTGATCCTTATGCACCCAGAATCTTGCCAGTGCTGACCCGTAGTGAGTGTTGATCAGATTGAACACAGGCATGAAATATTAGACAGTCCACATTCTGTCCTTTGCTGAGACAAAGCTACAACAGTTAGCCCCACCCAATATCAGAAGCATTCTGCTTTTATAGGAACACAGTGTATTAAACAAGAAGTATCCTCTTAAACAAAATCCTACCTATGGTGATTAAGCCTTGATAAATATTGATTTAAAAACCTGGTAACAAAGAATGCCAGGCAGACTGCATGCTGATTCTCATGGCCTTAGGGAGAGAAAATTCTGACAGGAGACATGTTTTCACATCCTAAAAGTTCAGCAACTGGTTGGGATGGAAATTCTTACTATATATAGTCATTTATTCATTCACTCGCTCACTCATTCATTCATTCTTCTCTTATGAGCTAAATCATTTTCCTTATCCTTTTTCCTTCCTCCTTTGCTTTTATTGGGCAGCCTCTTTTCACTTCCTTTTTGCCTATTTATATTTCCACCATGTAATAAATACCTCATGCTTTTCCTCACATTGGGGTGTCTCAAATCACCTCTGATTCCCAGAGGTATCAGAACTCCAGATTTTGAGAAAACTGAGTTAAAAGAAGAGCTTTCCCTTTCTGTGTCTCTAACAGAAGTCAATAAGTCTGTTAATAGCTAGACATTATCCAGCTGCATTTTTGCTTTGGTGAAAAGGCCCCAAATTCCGATCCTGTTGGTAAAGGGGTCGGCCTTAAACTCTAACTGCTGCAACCACCCAGAAGCATCATTGGTCTGCCATTCTCCTAGGGTTCTGTTCCACAATGCCAGCTGCTAAGATATTTTGCTTGCTGAATTGGCTTTTTAAGCTGTTTTTAAAGTTCGTTTTAGTTATGTAGTTGCCAAACTGAAATGCTAATTTTAAGTAAAAACATTGTTTAAATGAAAGTGTTTTCTGAAATAAATCAAGCCTACTATGAAATATGTTAGATTACCATGTATTAAAATCATAGTAATGTTTTCCTTCTTCACTCTCAAATCTGAGTTGACTGGTGGGAAAAAAGGTAAAAAAAAAAAAACAAAACAAAAACAAGATAATGTTTTGACTAGAATGGAAATTGAAAAATATCTTCAAATTAAGTCAAACAACAAAAAGTGCAATTTCTCTAACAAGCTACATTTGTTAGGAGGAAAGAAACAGTTTGGCCCGCTAGAACCACCAAAGGCCAGACAATGCAACACAGTCTTTCTGAGAATAAGAATTTGGTCTTATGCATTGTGCTAATTTCAACACCTATCATAGAGCTTCTCCTTATCAGTAAAAGCTAAATTCAGTGATTTGTTGATGTAGTGGCAGGACACAAGTATGCAGATAATTACAATAATCCCATTAAAAATTAGGAAGCAAGCCCTTGAGGAGATGTGGCACTGAGAATGAAAAAGGATTATCAGGCACAGGAGTCATTATTAAAGTCTTAAAGCAATGTATCCTGAGTCATAAAATACATACTGATTTCAGAGGAATAGTATGGAAAAATATTTTGCAGTAGCTCATTAAAATTGTTCATAGTAATTACATGTTGAAATAATAATAATGTGAAGACAATTGATCAAAAATACTTAAAATTAATTTTACACGTTTCCTTTTCCCTTTTTTAAATGTAGTTATTAGAAAATTTAAAATTGCATAGGTGGCTTGCATTGTTTCTACTGGAGGTCTCTGATCCAGAGGATTTAACAATTACCTAGCATGTCATGTGAAGGGAAGATGGAAACATAGATTTTGAACCCAAATTACTGGCAAAAAGGTAATTATGATGATAAATCAACTGAGTGGAGAAGCTGACATGAATTATAACTGTGTCAAACAGGATGAGCAGTGGAACTTACCAGTCAGTCATCTGTAATTACAGAGGATTCATCTGAGGCCTAGGAAGAGGATAAGGCACCACAAACAGATATGGGGAAAGGCCAACTAATTCTTGCCTGCAGAAGTTCTTTCATCTTTCTTTCACAAACATAAAAAAATTAAAAGAAATTTTTTCTTTTTTTAAAAAATTCATAGACATAATGGTTAAGTAGGCTCCTATTTGAAAGGCTGTATTTTCACATTTTGCAAAAACTACTTATGGGCCATCCTCATTATCAGCAGACGGCTGTATGGAGTCAGTGGCTGAAGTGCTCAGTGAGAACTGCAGATGGGAAAGGCAAACTTCAGAGCAAAATCTCACTAGGTTCATAGATTCTGTAAAAGCAGAGCAGTGCTCTTCAGGTCCCGGAACAAAATGAAAGAAAGCGACAGGACACACAAGCAACTTGCTGGGCTGTGAGATCGGCCACACCTTGCCACTTGGCTGCAGGGATGCCCCCTAGACACACAGGGACTAATCCACACTCTACACATTCATAAAGAGCAGGTGATAGGATACAAGAAAACCATATTTCTTTGTCTTTTACCTCGTAAGAACATCTGAAAGATGCCTTGGAATAGGAATAGAACAGAAGAATGAAATTAATGTTTATTAGTCATGAGCGCCAACTCTCTTAAAAGAATCTTTTCCAGGTTATTTACTACTATAAATAATCTAGTAGTAAAGCAAAACTGAATGACTCACTGCATTATGCCAATATCATTCTACAGCCTAGGATGCAGAAGTAATTAATCCTAGAAACAGCTAGAAAGCTACTGAAGTCATATGAAAAGGTGACAAACTATCTCTTTATTACAAGTGGTGTCAGGATCTAAATCAATGGTGATAGCCAGGACTTAGGTGTGAAGGTGAAGAGCCACAAAGGAACAAGACAAGAAAAATAAAGGAGATGGTTAAAAAAAAAATATACAAACTAAAATGGTAGAGTTCTCCCTGGTGGCACAAGGAGTTAAGAATTAGCACTATGAAGCTATTCACAGCCACAGCAGCTTGAGTTCCAGCCCCTGCCAGGTCGCTGACCCACATGGTGCAGCTGACCCACATGGTGCAGCAGACCTCTGCTGTCTCACCTGCTGCTCCCCTCAGCAGTGTATTTGCCTGTTCGGCTCCCCTTTCTCTGGTGAATCCTCTCACTAACCCCACCTCTGGCCTACACCTCAGCTCTGGGATGCATAAATAAATAAAATAAATCTTAAATACATACACACACACACACACACACACATATATAATGGTAGGCTTAAATCTAAATAAGCCATAAAATAAAATATAATTGAACTGAACTTATTATTAAAGGAACAGATTCTCAGCTCTCCCTGGTGGCACAGTGGGATAAAGCACAGCACTAAGAAGCTAAAGCCACTTCAGCATGAGTTTGATTTCTGCCCCGGAGGTGATCCACATGGTGTGGTAGACCTCTCCTCACCCACCCATTGTTCCCCTCAGCAGTGTACTTCATCAGTCAGCCTGTTCTGCTCCGCACTCTGTCTCTGGTGAATCCTCTCACTACACCTGCACCTCTGTCCTGTACCCCAGTTCTGTATGCATAAATAAAAAAACAAATCTTTAAAAAAAATAAAAAAGGAACAGATTCTCAAACTGAAACACAAAACACCCATATGCTATATAAACACATTTAAAGTCCAAAAATTAAAGATATCAAACGGCCAAAAGAAATATACATATACTTATATATGAAGTACTAATCTAAAGAAAATATTAGACAAGATAAATTTGGTGGCCAAAAGTATTAAGTGATAAAGAGAATAGTTTATTTATTTTTATTTATTTTAAAATTTTATTTACTTTTGCACATAAGAGCTAGGGTATAGCCAGAGGTGCAGGGGATAAGAGGATTCACCAGAGACATAGCGGGGATCAGAACAGGTGACTGACTAAATATATTGCAAAGGGAGCAATGTGCAAGACAGGAGAGTTCTGCTGCTCCCTGGCTGGGAATCTCACTCAGGCCATAGCAGTGATAGAGCTAAAACTTAACTCCTAGGCCCCAACAGAGGCCCAGATCATTTTTTAATGATCAGGAATCACTTGATCTGGAAGTAATCTTTAATCTGATAGCATACAACCAGGTATCCCCTACATTTTCAAGCAGAACTTGAGATAATTACAAATAGAAATTGGTAAAGCCACAATTACAGAGAATGAACTATCATCAGAACTCAGAACTGAGAGACTTAGTAGATAAAAGGGAATGCTAAAGATGTGAAAATATGAATAACATAGTTAACATATTTTATTTACCAGAAATGTACAGAACTCTCTTCCCAATACTTAGAGTATCGCATTTCTACAAAAACTGAACATACATCATCCCACGAAGCAAATCTGCACAAATACCACAGAATGAAAATCATACAGAGTATGAATAAGATGCTCTTTAAAAGCAACATTCAATGAACACAAAGGGAGCCCTCAGAATTAAGATAAGGCAGCAGCAGAAGAAAGTCAATAGATTGTATAGAGTTATGAAACTGAAGAAATTTCCCAGCAAGTAGAACAAATAGAGAAAGAAATAGGAGAGAAAAGTTAAGAACATTAGGCATGGGTCTAGTTGTTCTAACATTCTCTAAATCGGGATTCCAAAGGAGAGAACAGAGGTATGTTTTGTTGTTGTTTTTTAAAGGCAGGATGCTGCCTAGTGACTCGAGACAGACATGCTAAGACGTGTCAAAGTCAGAACACCTACTGAAACTAGCCTGTGCTCTTGTTCTCACCTCAGCTCAGAATGCCCAGGGGAAGCTGCCTCCGATGCTATTCTCTGCCCCACTAAGAGCCAAGAAAGACGACTTTAGAGGCAAACCCTTGAGCATGGACATAGAACTGAAGCATCCCAACAGGAGAGAGAGTGGGGAAGCGGGGTAAGGAAAAAGAGGGAGGAAGCAAATAGACTAAGGTGGACTATGGTGATTCGGTGCTGGGTACCCTCCACTGGTGATACCTGATGGAAAGAATCCTAATTCTACCACAATTAAAAGAGCTAAAAATGGAAAGAAAATCCATTAAAGTTATTCTTTCATAAAAAAAAATAAAAGTAAATGGTCGAATTAAAGGAAATAAGTGGTTTGGAAAAGGGCATCATGCAAATTAAATTTGATCACAAGGCCTCTATGGGTACCTGAAGATCCACCGCCATTATCTGGACTAGGAAATTCATGACTACCAACTGCTTCAGTGGAAACAAATGGTCACTGCCATCCTTCATCACAGAAAGGGTGCAGTACCTATGACAGAATTTGGGGAAAAACTAGAGTAAATGTACCAGTAAACCCCTGATGTCATCTTTGTATCTGGATTCAGAACCTATTTTGGAGGTGGCAAGAAAAATGACTTTGGCATGATTTATGATTCCTTAGATTTTGCAAAGAAAAATGAATCCAAACATAGACTTGCAAGACATGGCCTGGATGAGAAGAAAAAGGCCACAAGAAAACAGGGAAAGGAATGCAAGAACAGAATGAAGAAAGTCAGGGGGACTGCGAAGGCCAATGTTGGTGCTGGCAAAAAGTGAGCTGGAGGTTGGGATAAAGGTAGTAAAGATTTTGCAGTGACTTTATCTATATCTGTGGTGATTGAGCAGATTTTTCATGAGATGATTCATAAATCCTTTTACATGTCTGGCTGTTTGAAAAAAACCAATCACAAGATTTTCTGGACTTTTTTTTCTTTAGTCAATTGTGTTAAATTGGTTAATGAACTGAACTACTCAAACCTTTGGTTTCAGATTCATTCAACTGTTACAGTTCTCTGTGTGAAGTATTTTGCATTTGATTTCCCTAGACTCTTTTGACACACATCTAGAAATTTAACAGTGCAATGTCATCTGTGCTAAATTAATAAAAGAAAACTTGATTCCATAATCACCCTGGTACAGAGAGGGTCTGAGCCATTTGGAGCAGTGGTTGGACGGAATCTTCTCCTTCTCCATGTTTCAGGTCTATTTTCCCTTGTGTTTTTTCTGCTGGGGGGAGGAGATGGAGGAGGAATAGGCATCAAATAACTCTTAATGTTTGGAAGTAGATAAGAATTCACTCCTCGTGAATTGTCCATGGAGTTCCTGAGTCTCATCATTGCCTTCTTGCCCTGTAATCACAGTGAAAACAGAAGGGGTAACCCAGCTTAACCTAAAATCGAAGACAAATCTGTATGAATGACATTATATACAAACACAACTGATATCAATATAGACTTAAACCCAATCGGTTCAAAAATGGCATTTTGTAATATTTGTAGCAAATTAAATTTTCATGAATTTCAGTGCCTACTTCAGCATTTAAGGACATTTTAAAAATCAAATCTATATTGGTATTTTGAGCATTTATATAGGTTAATTCGTAAAAGACCCACAACAAGGAAATAAGTTGAAATCAATGAATTTAAAATATTGCAGTTTGAAGTCGGATTGTCTAGTCCACCAAACAATGGAATAACAAAGGTTAGTACCTTCTTGATATAATTTCACCCATCCAGGTGATACAATATTTCTTAAAAGTGCCATCTCAAATTAAAACCACAATGAGATACCACCTCACCCCAGTGAGAATGGCACATCTTCAAACAACTAGCAACAACAATTGTTGGCGAGGATGTGGAGAAAAAGGAACTCTCCTGCACTGCTGGTGGGAATGCAAACTAGTACAACCACTATGGAAAACTGTCTGGAGGTTCCTCAAGCTGCTAGACATGGAGCTTCCCTACGACCCAGCAATCCCACTCCTAGGTATCTATCCAAAAGACACAAAAACACTGATTGAAAAAGATACCTGTACCCCCATGTTTATTGCTGCTTTATTTACAATTGGAAAAACATGGAAGCAGCCCAAATGCCCAAAAGTAGATGACTGGATAAAAAAGATGTGGTACATATATACAATGGAATATTACTCAGCAACCAAAAAAGAGAAACACATGTCTTTTGCAGCAACTTGGATGGAGCTGGAAAAGATCATGCTTAGTGAGATAAGCCAGAAAGAGAAAGAAAAATACCGGATGGTTTCACTCATAGCAGGAGTATAATGGACCAGGCGAGAAAATAACAAAAATAATGAACAACCATATACCAGAGACATTCTGTGGGGGCGGAGTGGGGAATGCGATCAAAAACGGGGGCGGGGGGGAAGGGAGGGAAATGCATGGGACTATGGCGGTGGCACAGGGGTGATCTGGTGATGGGAAACCCGCGGGGATTACAATCGAGATGGAAAAAAAATGTGCAAAATGATGTAAAAATAAACTTTGTAATAAAAAATAAATAAATAAATTGTGAAAAAAGAAAAAAAATAAAATAAAATAGAATATTTTATCAAAAAAAAAAGTGCCATCTCAAGAAAACAATTTGAGACTCTGACTCAAAGATTCTATTAATTTCCTCCTAAAAATTCATTTGGAACAAATATTAGACTGATAACGACAGCACACTCTTGTAAACGTGTATAAGAATGCATGCATGCACAACACACACAATACAAATTTTGTGAGACCATCAAGTTTAACAGGAGAATAATTAACTAAATTATTAAATTATTCATATATATGCCAGGTTTTTAAAAGAATAATGCACATTTATTCATTCTGATATAAAAAGGTCTATACAGTACTATATTACATATCTTTAAGATAACTCAATGTAGCTTTTGATAAAATCAGGGATGACTGGAAAATTTTTAACAGAGAGTTGCCTTAGGGTATTCAGATTATGGAAGGAATATTTTCTACCTTATAGACCTTTGAAAGTTTAATCAGCATGCATTACCTTAATGTTTGAAAGCACCAACAGTATCATCAAAAACTCTATTACATATCCCGGAGTATTTGTATCCGAGTTTTTAGAAATTGGGAAATTTTTATGTTATTTAAGTAGTTTTCCTAACTTTAAGGCATTTAAATTACTTTATCCAATTCATACTAATTTATTTAATACAGTTTTTGATTAAATTTTAGCCAATATAGTATGTATTTAAAGATGCTTATATAGTCAAAAGTCACTTTTAGGAAAAGGAAGTCATTCTCCAAGCATTTGTTGCTGCAAAATAAATTAAATAAAGGCATGCTTAGTCTATATTTTGATTGAAAACATTTATATGAACAGAAAAGGATTTAAATAGATATTCACCAAGGAGTTTAGATTTCTTAGAGTGGTTGATAGTGCAGGTGATATTTATGTTCTCATTTTTCTTTTCTTATACTTTCCAGTTTTTCTGTGATGGTGTGTATTGATATTGCAATAACAACTATAAATTAAAGAAATGAAATGACACTAATAAAATTAGTGAATCTAAACCTTCTTGGATTGGGGATTTTTTTTTATAAATCGCTAAATAGTTATAGATCAACTGTGTGTCTTATTTAGAAATAGTTCAGTAAATATTTTAAAAATATTAACAAGTTGTTACCTGCCTTGATTTTTTTAGTCCAAAGCATCTTAGAATATCTATCTTTACCAGTACAAATACTTCTTCCTTATTTTCTAATGTACTTTAATATATAATATAACTTTTAAGAATATTCTATTAAATACGTAGGAGTATTCTAATTTTTCAATATTACAAATACTATAATACTAAGTATCCTATTTCCTTTAATATATTAGTTTATTCCTAGGATAAAACTATAGATTAAAATGTTTGCATATGTTCATTTAAAATGTTGATAGTCTCATATTGCTTTCACAGGCAGTGGTAAAAATTTTTATTCCTATTAATTGTGTGTGAAAAACTCTAACACACTAACTCAAAGGATAATCATCTTGAGTCGTCACTATTTTTACTGAATTGCATTTTGATCATCCTGTTTTTTGACAAAATTGCTTTGCCCAAGTCAAAACCCTCACTCCTGACACTTAGAAAGCTTAACTGGTTTATATCTATTGCACCTTTAAAGAGTTCTCACATGCAAGTCCTTTATTCTTCAAGAAGGCAATAGGATTAAGTGGGTACTCACTCAAACTCAATGATATGCATTCTATAAGTTTTAGAGATTCTTACCTGACTCCCCATGAAAAAATTTTCATTACCAATAAATACCACTGAAAAATTTACCTGTCTATTCTAGCAGTATATTTTCCCTCTGAACATTATAAATACCAATAAGGCAGAGATTGCTTCTGCCACAATAATTGATAGATCACCAATGCCTAGAGCAAATGCATAATAAATATTTGCTGAATGAAAAGTGTAAGTTTAGCTAGTTGAAATTAACATGGAATTGATCTCACTTGTCATTCCATGTATGCTACCATTAATTGACTATGCCTAACTTCAGTCATACTCACCCTAAACTTAGTAATGGGAGAAAGACAAACTGTACAGATTTAGTTAAAAAAAAAAATACAAAAACCTTCCCAATGCCTCACACTCGGAAAATCACTCCCTAGCCAGTAGAATTAGATTACCTGGCTGTAATATTTACATAACTAGCAAGAAAATGAATAGATCAAAGCAGAGTTAAAATTATAGGAACTTAGCAAAGAATATAATCACCTTGGCAAATGTGGCAAGTGTCCATCCAAGTACTATCTACAGAAGAGAAAATCCTACCCATTGATTGAATTATTTCCTGTCCTAAATGGCAGTTATCTCTGGAAAAAACTGAGGGTTTCAGTTAAAGACCTTTGAGTTTCCTGATACCTTGGGCAAGTCCATTCCTAAGAGAAGATGGATGCATTATAACATCTTAACCTGATGTCATTCACATTCTATTCCACCAAAACATTTCATTCTGATTCCATGCTCACCAAGCAACCTTCTTAGTATTGTGATTTGTCCGTAGGTACACAATAGAGGAAAATGCACTTTCTCTATGAGCTATGCTTATGTGATGTGGATAAATGGCTCTGCTTATCATTTGTTTTCTGATTTTGTTTTACCCTAGGGGAAAAAAATGAGCTTGTTTTAAGTTTTGTTGGGTTTTTTTGCTTGTTTGCTTTTGGCTAGACTAAGACAACCTGTCTGACAGTTCTTACACACTAGCAGAAACAATGTCTCTGTATCTTCAAAGTGAAGATCAGATCCTAGAAATTGACATCACCCAACAAGCTCCTGCCCAAATCTAAGAAATCATTTCTAGATAAAATTCCACCACTTGGATCAATTTCTCTTTCTTTCTGATAAACTATTAAATTAACTAAACCAAGGTTTGGGAAAAGTGTTTTGTAAGCTGAAAATTACATTAAATAGAAAAAGGTATTAGTATGTTTAGAGTTATATTTATACTCTTACTGTGAAGCAAAAATCATTTCTCTGAATTAATTTCTCAGTGTCAAGGTTGTCAGTTTTAAATAAAAATATCTTAATTTCATAAAAGTCTTGTTTCCTAAAAAAGAACTAAATTCACCCACTTGAATATAGTGACAAATGTGTTTATGACAGTTCTTTCTGAAGCTGGAAAATATTTCTTCTCCATGTTAGAAACACAAATAATACACTCCTAATTTCTGAAAGTATAAGTTATTTCTTCTTGTTTAAGAATTTCATATTTTATGGTTTTTATACCATACTATACCATACCATACAGCCTTTGAGTGATCTTTGAAAATTATCTAAGATAACTTTGAAAACAGTCAAACTCTTGTATGTCATTCATTTAGCATTTTTTAAGAGATGGACCTTCTTTTTCTTCTCTTCAAAGTCAAATTTAATTTTATACATTAATGGTAAAGTAAATCAGTATGCATATGCAAACCTATTCTTGGAAAGTTTCATTCTCTAGATTTCATAAAACTAAAATTTAGAATCAGTCAACACTGGATCTATTCTGAGGGCAGTCAGAACTGGCTATGAACTCCTCTTTGTTTTACTTACAACCCTTCAAATTAACATGAAATCACCTTATATTACTAGATATCTGTTCTTTAAACATTTGTATCCAGTAGCACAGAAAGTACAGGCCTTCCAGTTTGAAAGGCATAATTAAACATAAATTTCACTGAGTAGATTAATTGAATCTGGCATCTTAAAAGCAGTGACCATCTAGTATTTCATCAGGAATAAAACAAAAACAAAAAAATGTTTGAAGAAATAACATTTACCCCAGTGGGAAATGGAGCTTCATTTTCCAGCAAGGAAGTTTTTGGTCTGGACCCTGGAGTTACCTTTGGAACAGTTCCTACTGCAGGATTGCTGGGAAGAGGCTGCAATCGAACGGGAGGCTGCGTAGTTCCTGGGGCAGTATATGGTCGAGGGGCTGTCTAGACAATTAAGGGGAAAATTCCATTTAAATTAGTATCTTGACATATTTCCAGAATCAATTAATAACCTAACAAATTGCCTAGAGTAATTAATGGTGCCTTTTTACTGAGCAGATTAAACTTTAATTATGTCCTTCCATTATACATACCCTTATGACCCACAGTATTAGTTAAAACATATGGTGGTGAAGTCCTCTACATAACTTAATGCCACAATTACAGAGTATTTTAGACAGAGAAGATGTTCTCCATTAGGTTTCTGTATTTTATTCATACTGTAAACACATTTGACAATACCCAATTCATGCTATGCATAGAATGACTTTGTTCAATTAACTGTTAAATTGAATAATGTTCCTATTTTAGAGATCTGAAGGGATATTATTGGAGTAGATTCATTTCCATTTTAATGTTTTTTCCAACATAAACTCTACTGTGCATCCCTTAAACCTTAAGTTTGGTCTTAAAGTATCAGCAGACAACGTAAGTCAAAAAGAGGAAAGGCAAATGCTTAACTGTAATACCTTACCATTTTTTCAACCTCTTCCTTGAAATATTAATTAAATAAAAATGACAAATTATGATTGACAACTTTGGAAAACACTATAAAATAGCTGTGTTTTCAGACTGGATATTGCCCATTTATCCCTGTAAATTCTTCTCTTTCCTCATCTGAACCCAGGGAGCCATCACTTTATGGACTACACCTACTAACCTCAGGATTCTAATTGGATTTGGACAATGAAATGCACTGGCAGGCATTAGAAGGACAGGATTTCATTCTCCTACATTCTTCCCAACCAACATCACAATGAGTCATCCAGGAACCTCTACCAAAGTGCACAGCTCTAGTCAGGAAGTCCTCTTCTTGTGCAGATGCTGCCTGCTGGCTGGGTATCCAATCCTACTGCTTCTCCTGCAGGCCTACAGGGAATGGTTCCCCACTGTGCTGAACTAAACAGATTTAACACCCCTAGCTGGTTTTCCTTAAACTTGCCTGCATCCTTGTCACTAGTTTCTTTATTAAACCCTTTCATATCGCCCTATTTGTATGATCCATATGTCCCCTATTAATACATTAATTGATGCATTTTCCAACCAAGAATATACTAAAGAAAATACCAAACGTGCCATCACTGTCCCTCTACCCACTCCCACTGGCTGAATACCATCTTGGCTTCTGTGGACAGAGGCAACACATTAAGTGTAGCATATCAATACCAAAAAGGAGTCTGAGCTTTTGTGGCCTTTACGGCATAAAGAGGATCTGGCTGCTGAGACTCGAGTACCAGTGTTGTGCGGTGGAAGAGCATCCTCATCTTTAAGTCACTCTGGTTTTGTGTCTCTGAACTTGTATTTGTGTCACGATCAATTTAGGAAGCCAAGTGAGTGACTGCAGCAGCATTTGATTTAAAGAAGTAGCACATAAGTGTATATAAGCCACAAGGGGAAAGGTCTTTTCAAACACACAGAACTCAAACTACAGGTTTCTGAACAAGGCAATCAGACCACCTAAAATAACTCTTTTGAACTCTGAAACAAATGTGCCCTAAGTCTCCCTCCTATCAGAAGATCCAACTGAACACAAAAACACTGGGAACCTAATGTAGGAATTTGAGAAAGCAGGTTATTATAAGGAGAACATGATCTATTGGCTGCTGTGCTCTAAATTTCCCTTCCCCACATTTGCATACAGATATTCAGTTAGATGAATGTGGCAGTCAAATGTTTAACTGATTACATTTATCTTTAAAAACAAATCGGCACCATTCAACTAACAGCTGTGAGCTACAAACTGTTGTAGTTCACAACAAAAGCTACCTTAAATTTGCTATATTTTAAATTGTTCATAATATAATTTCTGGAAACACATGTGGCACTGAAGCTTAACATTTTCAAATTCACATTCAGAATGTGAGTAAAATTGAGTACCTGGTGATTACTCAGCTTTGTTGAGCATTTCTAATGCCTAGTAGAACTCTGGGGGTGAATTTTCCAAACGTACAGAATTAGTTGAACGACTTTCTACAATTTCAGTGGAAACAGTACAGCTAAAGGCCTATATGCTAGCTTCAGAGTTTAGGAGCTACTATGACCAGTGCAATAGCTGAACACCGGTGTTTTCCTAATTCATTCAAGAAAACTAAAAGTGAAAAATTAATGATAATAGCCCAGAAGGATTATTATTTGCCTCTAGTTGTCACTTGAGGGTCAGGAGTAAAGACTATGTATCCAGACAGAGGAAAAAAAGGGATGGGGGACTGAATATCTGTAAAATGGAAATTACAATTCCAGTATCATGACAGGCATCACTTACAGTGCCCAAGCACCACATAGGGTGACCAAGTGAAGAAGCAAGGCTTACCAGATATAAAGTCTTCAGAAATGCTGGTGTCAATGTTTTCTGTAATTTTTAAATTACCTTTTCACTCCTGCCACATTAAGATCTCCTGGATGTATCATAAACTACTTATTGAGGGTGCTCAGCTGGAAAATTGAAAAGACAGCCTTGCAAGGGTATTTCCTCTCTGAAACAGGTGGGAAGTTAAAAAACAGCCCTGGACTGTTTCTTTTGTTTCTTGGAGTGAAGCTTTAGAGAGTCTAGTAAATGTGCCATCCAATAAAATAATTATTTGTGTACAAATGCATTAAAATGGAGTCAGGAAATATGATAACAACAAAGGAAAGATAGCTGCTTTTCATAACTTGAATGGTTTATCAGCAAATGTCAAAACATATTTACCTTTTGAAACCGTCAAAGCTTAACACCATATGTGATGAACTTACTTCAACATTTTAAAAGCTCTGCAGTTCCTCTCCAAATATTGTGCAATCAAAAACAAAGTTCATGCTAACAAGGAAATCTTTAAGCCCCACAAAGCAAGAATAAAGATGTAATCAAGCAATTCATGTACAGTGTAAACCATCAGCCTCCAGCAAATATCTTGCAAATCTTTTCCTCTGTCTATATTATTTTATGCTACCTTATTTCCTTCAAGCAAATACCACCTCTGAGTTGTAAATGAATCAAACTGAAATGAAATGTCAGTATGTAATTTATTTAAATAGATTTTCTATACATTTATTTTTACTTCAGAACATTTGCACATAGTTTTGATGTTAAAATAAGCACAAATATAATTATCCAACTTTACATGCTATATGGTACCACTGAATATGTGTAAATAAGTAAACCTTAAAGGTAAGATGAGAGTAGAATGAACAGCAAGCACGAAATTTAAAAATCAGAAAATATAAAACATATGGAATAATCAGTGTTTCAATTTTGCTACCTTGTAGGGTGCTAAAGGGTAATTATGTGGGGGAAATGTGAAGATAGCTAAATTGAAGTCAAATGGTCTAAGGGTCAGAAATATCAGGTGACAAGTTCTATAGATGGCACAGAGTCAATGAAAATATTTAGGCATGTAAGTAACGTAAGTAATTTGCATTTCAAGAAAACTAATCTAGTATTAACAAGCAAAATGGATTTGACAGGAGTGACACCAATGGGAAGTGGGAGGATTAGTAATAAGAGTTGACATAAGACTATGGTTTGTGATGGCGAGATTCACGGCATTATACAGACACTTTCCATAGAGCATTCTTTCTGAGAGTGATAGCAAGTCATAAATTAATTAGTTGGGATAGTGCATGACAGTATTTAATATGACTCACCAGTGTTAATGGACTGGAATGTCCTTCATCAACTAGGACACTATGACCACGGTTTGTCTTTGGGCCAACTGGGGGGTGGGGAGACAGGACTGGCATGTTATTTTCTACAGACCATCTTGTGTGCTCGCCCTAGAATAAAGAAAGTGATTCAGCAAAATGATACATAATCAGTAACCTAGGTCAGAACCTGCCAGCTGACCGGTATGTTTTGACTATATGTTGTTGCTTAAAAACATTTTTCTCATTCTTTTCCAAAGTGTTCCTTCCTCCTGAGAGCTATCGTGGTAATTAGGAAAAGCTCCACAGCTGTGCAGGGGTACTGCGTATGGTATAAAAATAGGTAGGAAGGTTTTTTTATATACTACAAACAACATTTTTTGTTTGTGGACATATTTGCTCACATGTGTTTGAGGGAAACTATTGTTTGTATAGTACGTATTACTAGGGAAATGAACCATTTGAAGGATCAATATTTTGTGCAAAATAGAAAAAGGCAGGGAATTGAGTCTGCTTTACTTAAAGAAATCTGTATTCAAATATCTACAGAATCCGTGAATACTCAGACTAAGCAATGATATTTATTAATCTGTTTCACTTCATAGCCATAATTTTCATTATCAAATATACATCTGAAAGACATACAATATGTTTGTGTGTGTGTGTGTGTATACACACACAATGGATACAATTGATAACTAGTAGGAATTTGGAATTAGATGTATACAAAGATGCCATCTTCAACCTAGAATGAGAATAAAATTAGCACATGATATAAATGTTTTTCACCATAACCTTCTATGTCCAAAGTATTTTTTCAAAAGGAATTTGAATATATTATAATTTTGATGATAACTGTAAGTAGTTGTGAATTAACACATATATATTTCTTTGACTTCCTGCAGTCTATACTTTGAACCAGAGAACCACAAACTCCATCACTTTTTGTTCCAAAACTTATATATTAACAAGTACAAATTAAGTTAATATCCTGTTAAAAATTTAGACATACCAAAAATATTATCAATGAGACAATTTTTCCCATTCCATAAGTATTTTTTCTGTTTAAAGTCATGAGAGACAGCTTGAGCAAAAACTTCATGGGGTGAGGTCAAAAGAGAATTTATTAGAAGTATTATTGAATAGTCTGGATCAAAGCACAGTTAGTACTGCAGCACAGACATGCAGAAACAAAAAATCTGTGTAGAATTGCTCCTCAGCACAAAATCATAATTTTGCCCTATGACAGTTTCCAACATTTTTTTATTCTAAAACAAATAATTTTATATATATTTTAAATTATGATATCATTTCCATGCAAAATATTCAGTCCTTCAAATCCCTAAGATTCAATGAGTTTAAAAAATATATACAGTCATTTAAACCACCACTCCAATTCAAGAGAATGAACAGTTATTCTAGATATTTCCCTCCATCATTCCAGATTCCATTCAATCTAGACAGGCAAACTTTCTGTCCTCATTATCTCTTAGTTTTTCTTGTTCTAGAAATTCATGTAAAAGCAAACATACAGCATGTATTCTTTTATGCCTGGTTTCTTTTGGCAAACAGTGTGTTTTCGAGACTTTTCACATTGCTGTGAGCATCAAAATTTCAAATATTTTTGTACATTTTTGATTAGTATAACAGAGTACTTCAAGGGGTGCCATGTTCCTCACATCTCTGGACTGGACAGTAAAGACTCCCACAAAATATTACTGTCTCCCTTAAAAAATAATTAAATAATGCCTAAAGCAAAAGAGCAAAAGGGACCCTAAAAAAATATCTTTGTCCAGTAGACTTATAAAGGGAAAGTTGTTAAAAATAAAAATCAGGACCTCCCTGGTGACCTAGGGTTAGTTAAGTCTCAACACTATCACTGCTATGGCTCACCCCACCACGAGGGCCTGAGTTCATCCCAGCTAGGGAGGTGACCCACATAGGCAAACCAGACTCTCCAGTCTCGGCTGCTGTTCCCCTTAACAGTGCTTTTCAGTAGATCTGCCTGTTCTGCTCCTCACTCTGTCTCTGGTGAATCCTCTTACCTCCCTCACCCTTCCCCCCACCCCCACACACCTGACCTAATACCACAGTTCTTTTATGCCAAAAAAAGTAATAATAATAAAAAGTCATTCAGGGAGGAAATAGAGACTGTTTTCTAGCAACATTCCAGCAGACAAATTACAGGATCTGTAACTCAGTCCTTCATGTAAGATAATATTGGCAAAGTTGAATAAACCACAAATTGTCACATACCAACTATTCTGATCTTGAAGAACTGGCCTATCTTCTGTTATTTAACATTTTTGTAACAAGATTACCTTTTGACCATGATAAAATAGACAGATTTGAGTCTATCTCACAGGAGGGAAAAATTACTATCTTACACGGCAAGTTGTTTTGCTGGAACTTTACAAATATTCATCAGTTTGTGAGATGGGTGGCTGGTTCACATTTATAATACTATCTAGAAAATGAAAAATAGCATGTGAATTTGAATGGCTCAAGAAATTGAGTAAAACTGCCAACCTATACTGAAACCTTTCAAACATGCCTAATTGAAGCTCTCAACTTTTTATTCAAATGTATATATCTCATAAATTCTGCAATAAAAAGGACTATCAAATATGAAATTAGAAAATAAGAAATTTTTAAAAGGCTTCGCAAAATGTCTAAATCTTGGGGTTTTGTAGGTCTGTGCTAATATAGATCTTTCTTACCACAAACTTTCTAGTGTCATGTTCACAAGAAAATATACCATTGGATAGTTATCAAAATTAAATGTTTGATCAAACTGGGATCATCACCATCTATTTTTACCTTTCTAAGACAAATTATTTGGTCACTGTCACATATCAGTCAAGAAAATACAAAAAATGAAATTTCAAACTGGAATGATTTCAAGTTTTTTAAAAAAGGCTATTTTGCACAGTCAGCTCTAATTTTGCCATGATCTGTGATGATGGTAACCAAGATTTAAACTTTTTGGAACCACCATTTGATCTGTTATGAGCTACCCAAAAGTAAAAAACTCTAAGAAACTTCAATAATAGCTTTCAAAATCTTAAAATAGTATTTATTATGAAGTGAAAAGAGTTATATAGCTCCTTACCTTAAATCTCTGAATTCGCTCCTTCCTAGCTAAGGATTCCAGTTTCTTTTTTATCTCAAGCTGGTGGTAACGCTAAACATTCAGAGGAAAATGGAAGAAAGAATCATATCAACTATAGCAAAGAAATTTTTAGAGGGAAGGAATTGCTGTCAACTAACTGCGTCCCCAATTTTTCCTCTTGTGGTTGATATGGAAAAGAAACACCTGCATACGTGTATTAAAGGGAATATGAATTGGAATAACTCTTTGTAGAGTCAATTCCTAACATAAATTAGGCAGTTAAAGGTGTTCATGCCATTTAACCAACAAATTCTACTTCTAACCTAGGGAGAAATCTGAATAATTTTTTTTTAAGTTTTATGCTCAAAGATGTTAATTGAAAGGTTGTTTTATTATTCCCCCTTCAAAACAAAAATCCAGAAACAATATAAACTTTAAAGTGAATGGAAAATTTTGGTGCACATGCATACAATGTCATAAAATATAATCGTGTAAATATGACTCAAAGATTTTATTAAAAAAGAAATGAATGTAATGCAGGAAAAAAAAAAAAGTAGGGTACAAAATGCACAGATACATAACTCATAATGTGTGTCTGTCCCTGTTCTGGGAAAGTTTTTTAAGCAATTTTTCCAAACAACTCTAATTGCTAAGTTTCTTCATTTTACAAAGAAACTGAAGTAGAGGATCAGGAACTTGACACTGGCCACAGGTCTAGTCACTGGTAGTGCTGTAGTCAGAATTCTGGTCCGTCTAACCCTAACTTCCTACTGCTTGTTGGTTGATTTTTTTCCATAAAATCATGTTCTTTCCACACCATAATGTGTTTTTATTAATGGACAAACATGAAGAGCAAAGAGACTGCAGGAAATGTGAGTATGTTAACAGCAGTTATCTCTGAGGGGAGGGATTCTAAGTGGTTATTTTCCCTTTTTATGCCTCTTATATTCTCCCATTTTTTGATAATATATTAACAGCATGATGTAAAAATAAGCCTCATGTAAAAATAATCTGCTTCTAATTGGATTTGAAATCATTTTGACACATTGAGGAGCATTTTAAAAAGTGTTTTTACTCTGTTCTTGATTCCCTCCTGCTGTCTTTGGGACCCTCAAGCTCAATCACCCCCTACCTTAGTAAGATCAGTCCCCTTCTTAATGCTTCCTTTCTTCTCTCCCTGTTTCTGGTTTTCTCACACACATCACCAAACTTGACTGAATTCACTCTCAACCATTTTGACTTCCCACTTATTTCCTACTCAGTCCAGTCACCCACTTCCTTCTCCCTCCTCTTCAACAAGGTGGAAACTATTGGGTTGTCAGAAAAGTCATGACACATTTTTTCTATTGCAAAAATGCATCATGACTTTTCTGACAACCCAATATTTCCCCAAGAACACTAATGTCTTTATCCTCCAGGTCAAATCTCACTTCTATTCCCTCTACCCAAAACTCATCTTACTTAACCATTCTACAGCTCCCAGATAAGAGTCCTTCCTGGAGAGCACTTCCCCACAACTTGAAGGGTCTTCTTTTTTTTATTTCCCAGATTTGTTCCCACAACACAGATGCCACCCAGTAAGTCATAAAGCTCAGCGTTTCTCTGGGCTCCAGCTCCTTCACCCTCCTCCTTCAGTCAGTCTCAGTCTTTTCCTCTCTCCCCCATCTCTGTGGACAGCTGCATCTCCCAGCGTTTCCACTGCTGCTATTAGCCCACACCCTTTGGCAACAGCTTCCTAATTGACCTCCCACCTCCAATCTTTTCCAGCTCATTAATCCATCTTCCACATTTTTAGTAACATCATCTTTTTAAAACAGCTCTGCTCATTTATTTCACTCCCCTGCTGAACAACATTTCATCGCCTCATCACCTACATGCCAAACCTAATTGGGAATTTAAGGTCTTCTCGAAACTGAGCCCCCACTTACTGGATAGTGTCACTTCCTGCCACTCCTTCCACTAACCCTCTGTGCAGTCAGGCCCAGGGAGCTTATCTTTGCAGTCAGGCACAGGGAGCTTATCTTTGCATCCATGGTGTCCTTTCACACTTCTGTAACTTCACACCTGCTGTCTCTACTCTTGAGAATGCCTTTCTCATGCTTTCATATGAACTCTCAGACTTTAAGGTCCAGTTCAAATAGCAGGACCTCTGCTGGGCTTCCTCTGACTGACAGAGGCAAGTCACTATTCCTCTTTTCTTGAGCTCACTCTGCTATTCCTTTCTTCTGGCCTTTGATAACTTTCATCAGTAATTTTTTTCTTTAATTATATCTTGCAGTTACATCACATAGTCTCATACAGGAACATTGCAAACCTGCAATTTATGTTTGTTGCATGAATGAATACATGAATATTAATATAATAACATTAAACAACATCAGCATAAGCTACATGTGTGACAAATATGAATTTTGAGAAAAATAATCTATTTTTCATTATATTGATATGTTATATATGTACAGATTATGTTATATCTGACCTATTAACGTTTATCTAGCTATTTATTGCAATTCTTTAAAATATATGTCATCTCTTAACTAATAGAATATTATTAGTTATGAGGTATCATGATATACTAGTTATATGCAATTTTGAAAATATTAAATTCAAGCATTAAGGGTAATACAAGCCTCAGTACTTACTGTTAAGATTTGGAATTTTATACTATATTTCTAAGTATTAGTTTTAGAATTGCAACTAATGTTTTTATAAAAAGTGAATTTGGAGGTCACAAACAATGATTTTATGTATTCATGCACCACATAAATTCCTAAATTTATACTGGCTATATAACGTAACTGAACACAACTCTTAGTCAATATAATAATGGCATAATAATAAATATTTTCAGGGGCAGTGCACTTAGTACTGGTGTACTGATGATTCTACAATTGTTCATAAATGTTTACTGCACCCACAGGTCAATGGTTTTATGAGTCAAGAGTTCTGGTTTACTGCTTCTGTGGTCAAGCCAAGAAGTGACAGGCTTTTTCACAGAGATTAAAACAGTGTTGATCCTTGAAACTACAAATTCTATGGAGTGAGGCTGAAATGATTTATCAAGTTAGCTAGATAGCCCACTAAACGTACATGTCAGGCTAAAAAAGTCACCAATGCTTGGGTTGTGAGTCTATGCTGACCAATGAGACCTAAAGTAGGAGGGACAGCACATGTTTCAATGCCTATTCCTTGAAACTTAGCATACGGGCTGAGCTAAAGTGCCTTAAAAGAATAACAGATCTGAAATAATTCATGGCAGTAGAATTACTGATATTTAAGCAGATGTCACCTTTTTTTTTTTTAGCAAATGGAAATTGAAGTACAGATGGTGAGGGCTGGTATGTTTTACAGTAGCCATTATGGATTAAAAATCTACATTTGTTAAACTGAATATCACAAAATACAAAATGATGTCCACATTTTTCCCTCACTACTATGGAGAAAAGCTTACTTTGATCTTTTGACTCCTCACTAGCTAGAGAAAAGAATGTTTCTCAGGTGACTTTGTTCCACTCTTTTGTAATAAAACACAAGATGAATTTCCACAGCTTCTGGGTAACGGAGTTTTAGTCCATTAAAAAGATAGAAATTATAAAGAAAGTAGTAAATACTAGTACCTCCATGTCAAGAACCTTATGGAAAATGGCCTGAGCTAAGCACTCCCGAATGTATTTTTGATGATCCCGCTTCATGATATTTAGTTTGTATTCTTTTTCAGAAAGTATTCTTCCACTTCTTGTGATCTGTCATGAATAAATAATAGAAATACAAAGCAGAAAATGTCTTTCATTACCAAAACAGACAGAGAGAGAAGCAGAGAAAGTGGCAGTGTCTTCTAAGCCCATGGTATATACACTACTGTGGTTGGTAAACTTTCTCTTGTAGTAAATATTTCACAAGGCAAAAAAGAAGACAGTCTCATATACCCATCATTGTGAAAACACACAGGTGGTATATGACTTTTAAGACAAGTTTTCATTTGAGTAACGATTTTCTCTTGATGCAACCCACTTGTTCTTTTAAATTCTTTTTTTTTTTTGAATATTCAGGAAGAAGGTGCTACCTTGAAACAATGAATGGGGACAGTTATCACAGGAATGGATGGCCTCACAAGAAATACTTTGAAGGGCAAATCACATAAGCTACAAGAGCCTCTCACCAGTTGGTTTAACAAGTAATTGGTTTCACTGCTTTGTCTTCACACTAGTTATCTTCTCTCACTCTCCATCCCCAGAATGTAATTTAATTTGTTGTGAGTCACACTTTTTCAGATTATGTATTACTGCAGATGTAAAGTATTCCAGATAGTTTTCAACTGGCATCATTGCAAGTCGTAAGAGTGGTTGTTTCTGTTTTTTGTTTTTTTTTTCTTTTTTCTTTTACTACTTCCAATGGGCATATTTTTTATATTTTCTTGTATCTTCTGTTTTAAAAAAGAGGGTAACATTCTTTCTAAAGTGTATATCTTTCCTTTCACTTTTTAATGCTACTATTTTTTTTTTCAGGCTAGGCAAACTTACATTTCTTAATTTTGAAAGCTATAAATTTTTAATGCTGTTGTTGCAATACGCTGGAGTGTTAAGATCAACTGGAATTGTGTTACAAGTAATTGGTTCCTGGTAATCATTTTTATACATTTTCCAAGAGATTAAAATGGTATAGTTATAAAAGTTGTGCTCGAATTTATAACTAACTTAGTCTTTGAAGTATGTTATCTATGGGAGATCATGTCCTACATGTCCAATTGGTAGAAAATACTGAGAATTTCTGATATCATCTTGGCAGTTAACAGCATGATGATCTCTTCTGTATGAGTAGATCTGACCTCTGTAGCTAAAATGGAAGCTCCTAGAGGGCAGATGTTTTGAACATTGAAGCTGCCTCAAATTCACCCAGAAGATTAGATGAAAAACAGTTTGATGGGCCCCATCTCAGAGTTTCTGAAACAACAGGTTTGGGGTGGGGTCTAGAATTTGCATTTCTCAGTGATGCAGATTCAGGGACTGTATTTGAAAAACTGCTTTAGAAAAAGGGCTGTATCTTCCTTATTTGCTCATAACCTATGTTCAATAAGTGCTTGTTGATGCTGCACAGACATAAATATGAAGTCTTTCCCATTTATACATGAAACTCATGGGATTACCTTGCAAACAAATAATGTTAATAGTTACCACTACAATTACACCACCATTCACTGCACATCTAAAATTGCCACAACAATCAGAACCGCTGAGCAGCATAACCTGCATTCTACAACTGAAGAAGTCAGAGCTCAGAAAGTTAAGTGAAGGATTTGTTCAAGGTTCTATGTCTTGTAAGTGGCAGAGCCAGGTTTCAGCCAGTTCTGTCTGATAACAAAGCCCCAGGAGACAAAAAGCAAGCTCTCTGAGATCTACCCAGCCAGAGTGCCAAGCACATAAACAACAATTAGAATCACACGTAGATCCTTTCAACACCATGGCAACAATAGTTAAGGAAACCCACTGTGTTTTAAGAAGGTAAACAGCTAAAATCATTAGTCACGCTTTCAAAACCATGTCTCTTTCCTTCAGTGGATAACTATAGTATTTTGAAAAGGTTTCACATGAAGTGCATTTAGAAGAGTGAAAATCTTGTGGAAATTATAGTTTTGGAGCTCACAAAAGACATTAAAGTACCAATAAACCATCACAGGAAATGATTCTTTTTTAATTCAAGGAGAAATTTTGAATTGTTCATCTTCCACACCACACCAAATTCTGTGATCATTAAAAAACATATTTTTTCATAAGATTGTGAAGTCTTCTCTTGAAGAGCTTCTGGCTCTTCATATAATGTTTAATAATTATATATAATTGAAAGAATAAACAAATGAAACATGCTATTGAAAACAGAATTTTTCCTTAATAATTGATAAGATCTTCAGCAGTCCTCACGACTTCTCTTTCTCTCTTGAAATATAGCTTCAAATCTACAAGTCAAAGCTTTGTAAAGGAAGTCTTTTTTCTAAATGGGATAAATGTCACTGATTAGCTCAAAGAGGAAATCAGGAAGGTAGTGAATATCTGAAACAAGGAAGCAAGTAGAAAATAAACCAAGTCTTACCAGCCCGGATCTCAAGAGATGCCGCCTTATCCTTGTGTTGTTAAAATATCCAGCCAGGTGTTTATCAGTAAGACTATTATATGCTGCAAGTAACCTGAAACAGAAAAATGAAACTAACAGTTAAGCTTTATGAAGTGTTGCTTGATAACTAAGACAATTCTTGACTATCTCATCCCCAACCTGTGCAAGTCATTCAGTCATTCAGGCAGCCACTCATTCATGTGTGTGTTCAGCAGACAGGTAGTGAGCACCTACCATTTTCTGCTTTTAGGCTAAGCACTGGGAAATTGTCCTGATGTCTATCTAGCAGAGAAGTATGGAAATAGGACATTATAGCACCAGAAAGGCATGGAGCAGGTTTTCGATGCTCTGGGCAGCCAGGTAAAGGAGGCATATTGGAGCCCTCAGTGGCTTTTTCAAGCTTTTAATGATCTTTCTACACCATTTATAGTGAGGGAACTGGGTGCAGGGAAGGTGGGGAGGCCTGGAGCCAGGAGGCTGCAGGTCTCTGTGCCCCTGGTGAATCTTCCCTCTTTCTGGACTCTCTGGCCGTCTCCATGGTCTCTTCTCTGGTCTCTACTGCACTCCGCTGAATGTTCCTTTGCCTCCATGGCCTCTTCAGCTGCACTTCTGTTCTCTGCTACTTGTCCTCTCTATCGCTGTCCTTATAGCCTCATCCTTCAGGTTCAAGTGTCCCCAAGCTAACAGGCGAAAGCAAGGCCTATGCAGTAGAGTGATTAAGTGTTGTGCCCTAAAGACATTACTTACACAGGCAACACCACATTCCAGGTGCCTCCATCAGGCATGTGTGTAAGACCACAGGTGTGGATCACTGATGCTAATGACAGAATGGCCTGGGGAGGGGCAAGGGAGAGACCTGGCAACTTCCATTTACCCTACAGACATGAAAAGATAAATTTGTTGTGAAAAAATCCAATGCTAAAAATAGACAAAAGGTCATCGGCACACAGAAAACTTGGCCAGAAACATTTTCAAGAAAGGAGTCTGGTGGAAAAGCAGGGGCTCCTTCAGAGACTGCTTCAGCCTCCTGTTATATCCCTAATCCTGGAAACTCAAACTTGCCTGCACTTACTCAATGTGTTCTTTCATGTTTTTAGGGCACAACACTACTGCAAAGGCCTTGCTTTCACCTGTTACCTAGGGGATAACACCCATCCCTAAAGCAATCTGGGGTATTGTGTGCTGTTACCTTCCACTCCACTCACCCCTAAAATCTTGAGGTACCCCAAATGTCACACAATATATTATTGTTTATTTCTATGTCTCCTTTGCTAGATTTCAAGGCCAGAATAGAGCATCATTCTTGGTATCACTCTTGGTGTGATATATTGTGGGTCTAAATAGTGACAGGTCCAATAAATGAAAAGACAACATTGGGAATTAATCTCATTGGTACAGATTCCGAAGTTTAGCAGCTTGTAAGTGTTAATTTTCTCATATATATCCAGACAATTGCATCTCCCAACTCATTTTTACAGGTTTCCTTTGATTTGGGGGGTTTTTCATTTTAAGTGTTAAAGAGGACAAGCTGGTTCCTAAATTATATGTTATACCTTCATAGATGGTCATCTAAGTCTATTAGTTAACATTTGATGCCATTTTGCTAAATTACAACTATCCCATGTTAATTATTACTACCCTTGAAAAACACAATAATATATGTATATTTTTACATGAATGTATGTACATCTATTCATATATAGAACATGAGTAGGTGAGAGACAGACATGGAAGTACAGGGACAAAGATAGAGGTAAAGAATACATAAATCCAAACACAGCCTAATGTAGAATATATTTTAAATGAAGTACAGAAGATTTTTAGCTTGATGTTGTCCCATATGATTTCACTCATGTGGAAGATAAAGAAACAAAACAAATGAACAGACAAAACAAAATAAAAACAAATTCTGAGATCATGAGAACAAATTGGCAGTTGCCAGAGGGAAAGAGAAAGAGTGGGGGGAAATTCAGTAAAATGGACAATTTTATGATGGTGATAGGGAACTAGATTTTTGATGGTATATAAAGCTGTCAAACTAGAATATTGTACACCAGAAACTTATATAAAGTTAAAAACAAATGTTACATCAATAAAACGTTTTAAAAGCCCATACCCAACTACCTGCAACAAAGATTTATAATCTGTATATTTTATGAGAAGCTGATCCTTAAGTTATTCTCAGACAAGAAAAGGGACTCATTATAATCAAATAAATGTCATTATCATCTATTTTATTCAGTTCTTTACACTGTCTTAGTTAGATGGAGATGATTTGGGTGAGCTTTTCCTGTCTCTTTTCTCCTTAATGCCCATCTCAAGAAAGTTCCATGCTGTCAAGTGGTAAGAAAAGTTTAATTTCATCAAAGAAGAGGTTGATAAGCAGTTACAAAGCCCAGAGTCAAGGTGTCACATGAGAGTTTCAGACATGAACAACTACGGAAACCATTATTTCCTGAGTTTATGTAAAAAGACAACCCCAGGGCTTCAATAACGCACGCACAAAACCAGCCTCAGATAATGCTTTGAAACCATCTTTTAAATGAACTGTCCTGGTGTCCTATAGTTCATCAAAGGTTTCCTGTCTCCAAAAGGTCAACATCGTATCCCTTACCCTTTCTAACTCTCAGAATATCTTTTCAGCAACTCATTTCAGAAAGGTGAGCAGGTGTCTCTCAGTCCTAACAATCATAATTCCACAGTGCACAGATTCTTAAGAGAAATCATTAGGCTGATATCATATACAGCCTTTTGTCTATTTTTCAGGCTCAAGTTAAAAAAAAAAAACACTTTTGGAATAGCTGTGAATGCCAAAGCCCTGATTAAATAAGTAGGGTCAAAAAGTTGGAGTGACAATGACCTCAATTTCCCTAGAAACTGATAAAATATCTCTTTTTAATTCAGACTTGGTAAATTTTGTAATATTTAGATTCTAATAATAATGCATAACCTGCTTTGGCATCACCTCATTTCAATTCTGTTCTCCAGGCTCCTACTAAATCAATCTGTGTGCAAGGTGCCCCTCCAGTCTTAGTGAAAGGTCAGATAGATGCAGCTGAGGTGAAACCTTTGCACACATCAGTTTTCTCACTTTTCCTATTTAGGGATGATTGAGGGCCCCTACTTGGGACACCGTTTTCTCAGGCAATGCCTTAAGTTTTTTTGAACTGACACTTGAGATTAAGGAATTGTTTGATAATAAGGTATTTTACTACAGTAAATTATATATAGATCTATAAAAAGCAGTTGTCAACGTGTACATTTGCTCCCACCCTAATTTATATGTTGAAATCCAAGCCTCAGGGATTATGTTATTCCGGTGGTGATGAGGTCCCGAGGGACACCTCCCATGGACGGGGTTAATGCCTTTATAAGGGAGTACCCAGAGTGCTCCTCTCTCCCTTTCTAGCATACTCAAGAAAATGGTCCCTGTAAACCAGGAATTGGGTCCTCCCCAGACATGGAATCTGCTGACACCTTGACTGTGAACCTACCTACCTCCAGAACTATGAGAGATAAATCTCTGTTGTTTAAGTCACCCAGTCTATGTTACTTTTTTGCAACAGTCTGAATGGACTAAGACTGAGGTCAGGAAAAACATTCCTACTGTCTACATATAAATGTCACCTTGCTCTGAACCAGTCAGCCTCCTTCACAGCTGACACGGGTACCCTACTTTTCTTGTGCACTTGATGCATTTGCTCAATTCTAAGCATTTTCCTAACCCAGACATAAGCACAGCTCAGTACAGTTTTTCTTTTATTAAAATATTTTTGTTCATTAGTATTGCTTTGCATCATTGCTTCTATTATAGAAGTATTGGATCTTCCCCTTTCAGGCACTGTTGCCATAGTGCACCCATCACTAAGAACTCATAGTCCACCGCCAGAGACCCTTGCACTCCTTCCCTTCTCTCCCTCCTTTGTTTTTATCCCTTCCCTTCTATCCCTTTTCCCTCTTGTCACCCTACTCCACAACCAGCATTCATTATTAGTTTTTTTAATTTGGTCTTATCAGACCCTTTGTTTTATTTTTCTATAATCCACAGACAGTGGACTATCTTGTATGTCTTTCTCCTTCTGATTTCATTTAGCATAATCCTTTCCACATTGCTGCAAATAGCAAGAGTCTATCTGTATTGATGGCTAAGGATTTTCCTTTGTATGTATACACATCTTGCAGTAGAGCTTCTCTAATGCTTAGCATTTGTTGTCTCCATTTAGTGACCCTGTTTCCCATTCCCATACGCTTCTCTTTCTTTTCTTGTCACCCTGGCTTGGTGCTTGTGTGGGACTTTGAGCACTCTATTTTCTTTGCAAACCTGTCTGTATCCATCATCAAAACTGGACTTCTTGGTCACATTGCCTTCGGCCTATAAGCCTCCAGCTCCCATGCAGAGGATCAACAACTATATTGGTCAGGATGACTACTAGGCCATTGTGGGCATATCACTCAAAGGCCATGCTATTCACAGCAAGTCCCACAACTAGCTAGACACACCAGTCAAGCTTGTTGGCTTCTTTATATGATGGACAAGATTATTTACATAACCTATGGCACTGGATGGAGAAGGACCTACTTTTTGGCACAATACACTGGAGAAAACAGTTCCATAGGTAACAAAGCAACCCTGTTTTTTCCACTTCAATATATGCTCTGTGTCCCTGAGTTTTCTAAGGATTAGAGGAGCCTGCTGCTGAGTCATGAGGAATACTACCTTCCAAGCAACAACCTTTCAGCTCTTAGCCCTCAAGCCTGCTTCTTGTTATGAATTCATAGATGATTTTCCTGTCTCTTTTCCCCTTAACAGCCATCGTAGGATACTTCCATGCTCTCAAATGGTAGTAAATGAGACTTTGAGGTAATACAAAGTCAGTAATTCCTGTAAGTCCTTCCATCTATCTTCACAGAGTGTGTTTATACCATAAAAATTTCAGGCAAATGCTGAAGCACTAGAATATTATAAATCACAAACTTTTATTGAGCATGATTATTTTCAGGGCATCCTACAAGGCACTGAGGAAACAGCAAGACCACAGAGAATGCCTTGGGGACAGACATCCCCAAGTCTAG